CTTTTTTTTCCTTTTTAAATTGTTCACTATCAGAAAACCTGTTTTAATTGTCAATGTGCACAAGGTAATTGTCTCTTTATATTTGTACTGGTGTGTCAGATAGATAGTGTTGAATCTTGTGATTGTGCCTTTCAATTTTAAAAGATCTTGCCCCACCCATAGGCCTACCGTACCTGTACCCAAATCAGTGATGTTAACACTAGTATGTATGTACAGCGTACAGTGTACATCTACATCCTGAAATTAACATTATTGATGTAATCGTTGGGACATTCATGTACATGTAGATGGTGCCACATCTCGGTGTATGTACAAATCATACACACACAGTGTACCCTGATCTGAACTGGCTCTCAGTGCGCCAAGGTCGGCGGCGGCCAAGGGAATGATGTCTGCTATTGACCTTCCCTCATTATTACACCCAAACGTGTTGGCCTGCAAAATTCCTCATTAGTATGTGGAGGGCTTAGATTCGCTGGAACCTTGGAACGCATATTTTCCAAAAAAGAAAATTGCAAAACGGGCGTCTTGAAGGGAATGTACAACATTTGCTTTTGCTGTAATTTTCAGAAATAAATGGATTTGGAGGATTAGTATGTTATAGAAAATATTGTTAAACTGACTTGTTTCACGTTTTGGGCTTGTAGACGCTGGAAAAACCATGAAAACCTATCATGTTCTTGTAGTCTGGTTCCCTGACCCCACTTAAAATGAAACAGAGCGATTAATACACTTGGGGAATTGTAGGCTCAGAGAATAAGTCTAGCAGGCTTTTACCCCTTCACAGGTGTGTAATCAATTGCAAAGAAAAGTCAGAATAACTAAATATGAAAAATTAAGAACAGTTTTTGAAAAAAAGCCAATTTTCTCCAACGCTGGTCGGCCGACCAGCGTTGGAAAAATACAGTTTTTCTTAAAAATGTCAGCACACCAGGAGCCGCAATTTTACAGGATGCTTTAGACTGTCATTCCTAACAATCCAGTAAAGTATTTCATGATAATTTGATCATTTCGTTTTTTGATGTTTGCAAATGTTGTATCTTCCCTTTAAGTTTTAGGATATAATGACGTGTATGAATAAATTTGCAGACAGCCGGCCAAAGACATTGAAAGAAATTGTTAATTAACGCATCTTAGTAGATCTGTGAACCATTGATCTATTTTCTCACTTTTTTGTTTCATGTTCATTATGTCATTTCATTTGTTAGAAAAGAAATACACAAAGTTTGCAGAAATGTACTTGTATAGGGACCATTGCTTGTGAAGTTGTACATAAAATTTGTTCATTTTCCTGTATGTTCAACTTGTCAAATGCTAAATTATTCGAAAAATGTCAGTTTTAATAGTTTTACCGGAACTGCCTCGGTGTGTGTGTTTTCTCCATTGAAGGCGATCAGACCGCATGGTCATAAAGGCTAACAAAGCTATTGAATTCCTTGGACGGTTGGAATGGTGTAGTTGACCTTGGTAAAATACATTTGTATACATGTACATGTGTGTTTTAGTGTGGATGAGGGAAGGGACATTAGCTGGCCCACAGATCCTCAAGGCTCATTTTCATCAACTATAGCTGGGTTGCTTTTCACTGAGATCATGGAGGAAGGTACACTGTAAACTGCATTCAAGACATCAAACCTCAAGTCTCAGTCAGGGTGACCGTTTTAGCCGATTTTCGGCTAACTTTGACAGAATTTTTGTCAAATAACGAGTTTGACAGAAAATTTGACAGAATGGATTTTTCTGGCAGATTTCTGGCAGAATTCTGCAAAAATGGTTATTTGAGAGAAAAACAGCAAATTTGAACAAAAAAATGTGTATTTGTATAAAAAAAAGCTTCAATCCTTTCAAACAAACCCTTGATAATGGGGACAGGTTGGCTGGTCTAGGTGCTGAGGTTCACTGGGAAACGGACTTCGTTGTGGTCGGATCCGCGTTTTTTTGTACCCGAAATTTACCAATAATTTCACATGTTTATGTGACTAGATTGTTTATTATGTAATTTGAATCTTAATTAAGGCAATACTACCAATCTGCTTTTGATTTTAAGTGTTTATAGTGTATTTCGAGTAATTTGGGGGAATTTGGCAGATGTTTGATAAATCTGACAGATTTTTGATGTGCATTTAGCAGAATTTGGCTCTGACCTTACCCTCACCCTGGTCTCAGTCTAAGTCCAAGGCCAAGGTCTGAGTTCAAAGACAAAGTCTATCCAGTGTGAGTGTCTATCTCATTCCCAAGTCACATTGAAGTTGTGATTGAACCGTACATTAATAGATAGATTGTACATGTACCGTACATAGGGACCATGAGTTTATTTATGTGCACATGTACAAATGTACATGTAGTGTACATGTGGAGGTAAAATTAAAGTCTGACTTAAGATTCATAGAATCACTGCCCTAACCAAAAAGCTCACTCAATAAATAGCCAAAGTTATTGAAATTTAATAATGCTCTGTACATTGTATGTCATTCTGGCAACATTTCTTGTGATTATATGCAAATAAAGTGGCTTTACAGTTTTGAAAATTGCTTGCAAATTTGCAAAAGTTGGCACAATCGCATTGCTCATGGTAGAGTCCGAGGATGTAACAAGTTTTGAGTATTCAGCATGAGTCTTACGGGTCTAGATTTCAGTCATTGTTGATTGTGACTGGAGTCCACGTTTGAATTTCCAAAGCTGAGTAACAGTCAGAATCAATCTGATTTGTAAAAACATTGGTACATTTTGGTACACATGTATGAACATGAGTTTTAATGTACATGTATACAATGTACATGCACTACATGTGCATGTATACATGTACACGTACATGTACATAATGACCACTATCTGAAGCAAATTCAGATTTTTGAATAAAACGTGCACGCTAAAATTGCAAAGGTTTCACATAATCAAAGTTCACTAAAAGTGGGGGAAAAATGTTCAGTTTTTAAATTTATTCAAACAAAGTTTAAAAACAAAATTTTGCCCCGTAGGCCTACCGTATGTAGATGTACTGTACGTATACATGGTCTGTTTGATTTGAAATAAAGATTGTACTAGCCTAAAGATTTGCCAAGATTTTGTAAAATCTGAGCTTTAGGCTCTATATAATGCTAGATTTTTTTTTTTTTAAATAAAATTACGATTGTCCACACTCCATAATTAAGAGCAATTGCTACTCTGTCCTTAAGGCATGATAGAACAGAAACATAATTTTGTGAGACAGTGGCCCTAATTTTACCCATATGGGGCCAAATCCTTTGTTCAGTGTCACCTGTACATGTACATCATGTCTGTGCCTTGGGGCTTTTACTGCTATTATGCTATTGTTAGTCAGTGCCTGCACAAACAGTGAATGGCACTTGTACCACTACATGTACAATGTAGCATAATGAATCCAATGGATAGTTGAAATAATTTGTTAAATATTATTACGTGAGACCTGAGTGCAATTTGTATATTATTTAGTTGGTAGACATTATGACGTATCGGCACACTTTAGGGCACACATGAGACATGTATTAATTATTTTTGGTTGTACAATGTCCGTGGTTTAATTTTAATTTTTTATAAAAAAAAATCTGGATGCTGAAACTATACTTAAATACATGTAGCATAATCTCTGATTGTTTGGAAGGACTTGCATTTGAATGAAATAAAGAAGATTTACAATGTATTTTGACATAATAGTTTGGAATTGAATGTTTTGTGTTTTAATTAAAGAAAGAAAAAAAAATGCAAGATTCATTTTTAACTGATAATTACTTGTACGGTTCATGTACAGTACATGTTCATGTACATGTAGTTTGTTAATTATTAATCTATATTAAAAAAAAGTACATGTTGTAAACCATTACAAGATTGTCGTTCCAGGAAGTACAGACATTTATATAACTACATGTACATTGTACATGCGCATGTACATGTACACGTAAAACTGATGGAGTTTTAAAATATGGAAAGTTCAAATTTGTTTTAATGACAGTCATGCTTCAAGTACAATGTAATGCCTTAATTTTATGAAATCTATACGTATGTTGTAGCTGAGTACAATGTATATTGTGTATGTTTATTGTTTGTAATATGATCCTATCATTTTGTACTGTGATTGACATGAACAATGTATACACTGTCATGCACTATGGTACATGTATACAATGTATACATATGTATACAATGTACAAATGTAGTGTACTTGTACATTTACTTGCACATTATAAAACCATATGTACCGTACATTGGCAATGTACTGTTCACATGACTGTGACCTTTTCTGTCAAAAGCAGACGCTTCTGGGCAGAGGTTGAAATTGAGATAGGGCCAAAAAATGCTGTGGTGGTGATTTTTATCGATTTTCAAATGTTTGCATATATGTTATCCTGAACATGTCTAAAATATATTATAAAAGTTTGAAACCCTAATTTGAACTCTACATATACTATTTTTGATGATTTTGATCAGTTAAGATAACTGTTTTGTGATGTTCGTGGCCATTTTCTCCGTTTTCTACTTTTCGACACAGTGAACTTCAAAATAGCATATGTACAACTCTGCCCAGGAATGACCGGTTTCAAAAATTAAACCACCTATTAAAAGGAAAAAGAACATATGTTAACAATATGTAAAAATATCATTTTCGACCTTATGCCCATAAAAGTCTGATTTTGACAGAACAGGTCACATATTTGCTGTACATGTTCAATGTACATGTACATTAATTGGCTGCTTCATTCTGATCATGTTCTGATTCGTCTTAAATTGTATCTGAAACACCAAGAAAATATGTTAATAACAAACAATGTACTTGTACATGTACTGGTACATTGAACAGAGCTGTTACACATTAACTGGGTATAGTTTGTATTATATTTTTTTTGTTTTGGGTGATATTTACAAAATGATGCAATATACATGTATGCCCTTGACCTGGTGACAGTGTATGAATGTGTAGTAGAAAAAAAAAATCTGTACTTAAGCTTTAAACTGTTGTCAATTTTTCTTTCAATTCCCTTTAGGTCTTGAATGTGTCGTGGAGAGCCTCTTTGGCCTTGACTTTGTGAAGAAGATATCTCCCTTCAAAGGTAACTTTTAACCCTAACCCTGCTGAATCCAACAGGATCCAACTATGTCACATACCCGATGGAGCCTGTTGGATTGAGCAGTTAACCCCTTGTGTACATTCCTCATGCAAAATGTTGGATTCAGCAGGCAACTGAACCGCATTATAACGCATTGTTGGACTCTGTTGGATTCAGCAGACAACTGAAAATGAGGCACAGTGGATTGAGCAGGAAACTCCGGTTGGACTCTGTTGGATTTAGCAGGGTAGTCCTGAGGAAGTACTACCCCGGTAGGGGGTTAGATTAATAAATGTTTGGAAACGACTTTGTCTTTCTGACTATGGTGCCACATCTACGTCAACCTAACTTCAGGTTAATCACACAAGTTGCAATTATAGCCAAATGAATGAAATGCTTACATTTTGTTAAAGGGAAAATACAACATTTGCAAACATCCAAAAATAAAACTACCAAATTATTTTGAAATACCTTGTTTGACTGTTAGTGAATGACAGTGTAAAGCATCCTGTAAAATCATGGCATCTGGTATACTGTCATTTTCAAGAAAAGTGGTATTTTTGTATCAATTTCCAACGCTGGTCGGCCGACCAGCGTTGGAAAAAAAAATGGCTTTTTTCAAATACTGGCCCCAATTGACCATCACATTTGTTTGTAATCGATTACACACCTATGAACGGGTACAAGCCAGCTAGACTGGTTCCCTGACCTTACAATTCCCCAATGTATGTAAACTGCTCTGTTTCTACTTAAATGGAGTCAGGGAACCAGACTACAGGAAAATGATTGTTTTTCTTGGTTTTTCTAGCATTTTCGAACCCAAAACCTCAAAAAAGTCAGTGTAACTATATTTGCTATATATTTCCAACCCCCCAATTTTCCATCCATTTCTGAAAATTACAGCAAAAGCAAATGATGTCTATTCCCTTTAAGGGTTGTGAGTGTGATGTAGCGGGGCTAGTGTTTGCATCACGATGGACAACACATTACTTTAAGGCTTGTACTGTATGTTGTAGTACTACCCTAACCTCCCTGACTTTATCAAAATCCATCCCCCATTTTGCTGGATTTGGGGGGACTTGGTCCTGCAGGCCTGGTTTGACTAAAGATTGATGGAGTATGATGGACTTGGGCCTGGAGGCCTATAAAGCAAAGGATGCTTTGGAAGCAGTGTGATTGATGGATTGTTGGTTAGCTTAGTTGTTGGTGGACTTGGTCCAGTACTTTGTAAAAGACAGTAGGGCGTTAGGGTTAACCCTAAAAGGGCCAGGGGAGGGGGGATTCCACAAATTCCCCATGGGTGCCTGAGTTCCAAGAATTCCCCTGAAAGCAAAACCCCACATGTACTTGATGGAATTACCTGTTCATGTGAGTTTCCCTTTTGGCATAAAATGTCCTAAAAACGTGTTTAATAATTAACCACGGTTTTAAGTTGTTTTCAAATATCCTACAAAAGTAATCCTGAATCAGGCATGTACATGTACCGGTACACGTACACATACATTGTCCACACTATCAGCTTCAGCGAAACTTGACACATCCGATGTGCCTGAAGATCAAATTTCCTATTTTTGGGACCAGTGTTTACAGGTTGCCCAAGCGCAGTTCTCACTAGTTCTGTATTAACGAAACCGAATTTCCTGGCCCAAATCTAGGATTTCCCCCCGTTTGGGGAGGAAATTGTGTCGGCGTGTGTTTTGCCAACAGACCTGTCATGCCTGTCAATTGCAGGAGAAGGTACTCGTTCGGCATTGTGCTGTTTTTTTGCTCGGTGTGGACCATCAATCAATTGGACCATGAAGTCTCAAGGAAATGTGCATATCATGGGTAGAAAAATGGCCAAACAGCCTGGCAGGATTGTTGTTCCCACCAAGAGTGGTTTTGTTTTTGGTTCATTGCGATTATTGCTGCATACATGTACTTGAACTGTATCTCTGACGAGATCTATACGTGTACATGTGTGTAGTTGACCTACAAGTACCAGTATACATTATACATGTTATACATTCGATTGTTCATCAATGCTGAAATATATCAGAAGTACCGTTACAAATGTAGTGATTATGTATGGGCGCAGTGTATAAGTGCAAATGAACCCTAACTCCCTATTGAGTTTGACTAAGAATGGTACCAAGTCCGCCAAAATCCATCACTGACTCTGCTTCGCATAATGCTTCAGGGCCAAATCTGTTGAAAACCACCACGAATCCACCACTGCTATAGGTGGATTGTGATGGACTTGGTACTCTTGACTTCCCTGCCAAAATCCCCCCAAATAGGGGGATGGATTTTGGTGGAGTTGGGAAGGTTAGGGTTAATGGAGTTATTTGTGTGATTTTTTTGTTGTTGCGCTATCACCACAACCGATGTACATGTACATTGTGAGGGCCGGTTGATTCTTGGCGCCTGGTGAACCTGCAATGTCAGGCTACAAATTTGAAAAGTTTGCTGCAAATTTTTGTTACATCAAATCATATCATTCCACCGGGTTGGGGAACAAAGTGTGACATACATGTATGACCATATTATGAAAAGCACGAATGCCTTGCTAGCAGTTGCTCTACTGAATATTTGTTGTTGGGTGTTTCACTTCTGCAGAAAGATTGAAACCATTTCAATGTATTTTGCCAAAAATATGAGCAAAAAATGTCATTTTGGACGTAACATTGACACCATGTCAGTGTTATGGCCAAATATGACATTTGTACCTGTTTTTTAAATTTCTGCGAAACATTACCCAAATTCACTTTGCATATTTCTTACTATACATGCAAAACATTGAGAAAAGCTTTTGTTACGGTAGTCAGGCATCAAATGGAGCAGAAATGATAGCTTGGTTGTGTGGACGTAACATTTACACGGTGTAAAACCCAAATGTCACACTTCCATTGAGTGATTTTTACACCGTTACATCCACACTTGAGGTATTGTTTCTGCTATACATTTGAACCCTGACTAAACCAAAACAAAAGCTTTTCTTGGTGTTTAGGTGTCCAGTTGTAAATATGCAATGTCAGTTTGGGTAATATTTTACATACATGTAAAAAATGGCCAAAAAAGAATTTTTCAATGTTACGTCCGAATTAATACATTTTTGCTCATATTTTTGTCAAAGTACTTTCAAATGATTTCAAACTTTCTCAAATATTGAAACACCCTAAGACAAATATTATGTTGAGCATTAGTTTAGAATGCATTGATACTTTTAATAATATAACCAAATATATGGATGTAACATGCACTGCTTCCCAACCCGGTGGAATGACCCATATATACAAGTTTATTGTTACCATACGTGTAATGCATGTAATTTACTGTATCATGTAGACTTTGTTGGCCGAAGCTATTCAGCGAGGTTTAACATATAAACCATGGATACAATTTATGCAGAATAGTTCCTCATTTTTTATATAATTTGTCGTTCGTACGCATTTATGTATGTGTACATGTACATGTAGTTGCTATGTCCCTCTATGGCTACCCATGTATTTCTGTCGGTGTCGGTTTAATCAATGATCTTCTTGGCTTGTCATCGTGTTATTTGTTTGGCCCTGTAGATGAAGAGGAGGAAGAGCAAATCTGCGAGGATTGGAAGGGAGAAGAGAAGTGTCTTCTGTGCCAGGCCAGACAACAGGCAGTGGAGGTAAGGATTAGATCAGCTGTGCTCCATTCACATGTATACAATGTATACAATGTATACAATGTATACATGTACCATACATGTAGATCAAGTGATATCTCCAGACAGACCTAAGGGTGACACTCCCACCGCACTGACTGGAAAAAATAGAGAATTCCCCCGACTGGGGGAAAAAATAGGTAAAGTGGAACGCCCTTATAACAAACATCACGGGATTCACAGAAAGTGTTCGTAACAAGGATCGTTCGGCATAGCGATTTTGAACCACGGGTACCCTCTTTTGACCAATAGTGAACTGGCATTGCTCACATCCCGCGGCCGCATGATTAGTCGTCACGAAACTTTGGCAACGGGTGGTTTTTCTTTTATTCCTTGGGGAAATAATAGCCATTTATAGCTCTTCAACATTCAAACACGATGTAACCATGGGTGGTTTGATGTTCGGGAATTAAAAGGGCCCAAATGGCATTTAATACAACCGGTCGATTTTTTGTTAATATGTTGACTTTTTTCAGCAACAATGTTCGGTACGTGTTGTACATTAAAACCGGGAGCCAAGGATGATGTTCGGTGTAGCCTATTTTTCGGTATAGCGGTGTTCAGTATAGCGGCGTTCCACTGTAGACTTTGAAATTAGCAACAAATGTACACATTTATACAAGATCTGTCTCTTTTTGATTAGGGAACCTTGGTTTGAACATGGCGCTGTTTAAGCCTAACTAATAAGCCTTCCCTGTATTTTGTTGGTTCAGGATACCATCGCACAGCACCAGGCCTACATTGATAAGCTAGAGTGTGGCTTGACCAACGGTCGAGCCGGCCGGCCAGAGCATACGTCCCATCAACAGAGGCTACTACGGGCCGAACAGTGGCTGGCTAAATCAGGTATGTACATGTAGAGATGAAGGTGCTAATGCCCTGTTTGGATGTGCAGGTGCCAATGCCTTGTTTGGATGTGCAGGTGCCAATGCCTTGTTTGGATGTGAAGGTGCCAATGCCCTGTTTGGATGTGCAGGTGCCAATGCCCTGTTTGGATGTGCAGGTGCCAATGCCTTGTTTGGATGTGCAGGTGCCAATGCCCTGTTTGGATGTGCAGGTGCCAATGCTCTTTTTGGATTTGCATGTGCCAATTTCTTGTTTGCATGTGAAGGTGCCAATGCTCTGTTTGCATGTGCAGGTGCCAATGCCCTGTTTGGATGTGAACAGGTGACAGTGCCCCGTTTGGATGTGCAGGTGCCAATGCCCTGTTTGGATGTGCAGGTGCCAATGCCCTGTTTGGATGTGCAGGTGCCAATGCCTTGTTTGGATGTGCAGGTGCCAATGCCCTGTTTGGATGTGAACAGGTGACAGTGCCCCGTTTGGATGTGCAGGTGCCAATGCCCTGTTTGGATGTGCAAGTGCCAATGCCCTGTTTGGATGTGCAGGTGCCAATGCCCTGTTTGGATGTGCAGGTGCCAATGCCTTGTTTGGATGTGAGGCGTCAATGCCCTTTTTGGTTTTGCAGACCTGTGCCAATGCCCTTTTTGGATTACGTGACTAAGAGTTTATTTACTGTCGGTGAATAACAATGGCTATTTTCACAAGCCTCCTAAACTGTAAATATTTTGGTGTGGAAATGCATACAAAGAGTTTTGTTGTGCAGGACGTCAACCGTGATATTGAAGCATGCTCTGTCTGAGGCACTTGTTTGTTTGGTTGTTTTTTGGTGGTGTAATACGTGATTTTGCTTCAAGGCCAAATGGCAAAAAAAAAAAAAACGCTGAAAAGGTCGTGGTAGTGGTACTATAGAAAGTTGCCGGAAATTTTGAGCTCTGAGAAAGTAAAAGGAAAGTTCAAGAAACTTTATACTATATGTTTTTCCGGCTATTTGTAAAAGCTTTTTAATTCAAAGTCACCAACTCTATTATTCAATTTCGTACATGAAAAAGTTCACGCGCTCTTAACAAAACCAATTTAGTCATTTACCATTCAATTTTAAAGTTTGGTCACCCTCTTTAGCCACCGGGTTGAGAATATTTGTCATTACAGACCAAATTCTTCTAAGCTGTTGCCGAATTGCAGCATTCAGAGATCGAATTCGTATATAAATCAATTAGACAAATTTGATTTCTGAATAGCAAGGTTTGGCGTAGACGAGACTAAATCGAATACTCCGGGACGAAAACCTGTGCTCATTGTTTGAATTTGCTTGAACTGAATTTGAAATTGTCTGACAAAAGACGAAAGAATTAAACATTGGAAATGCACTAAATCGATGTTGATGGACGAATTTGAATATTAGAAACGGTGAATTTGAAAGATAAACGTTTTGAAATAGCCGGAAAAACCTATAGTAATACCAAACATCATGCTATGTTTCCCCAGTAACATTACATGTACCAGCAGTGGTGAAAGGCTCAACCAGTTGAAAAGTGAAGTAAGAAGTAAACATAGGGCAGTTTAGCCATTGAATAGTCACTTGAACATGTACGTGTAAATGCAAACCTCGATTTGCATCTGTTTCAAAAGAGGCCCCCCCAACACTTTTCCACTTTTCCCCCACCTTTCCTGTTGCTAAGCCTCTTTGTTGATGAGCTTCAAAATTATTGCTCTTGGAACAATTACCTCATCAGGAGTCACGACAACGTTATTGTCAAAAATTCAGTCTGAAAGTCGAACAGATTTTGTGTCCAGAATTTGGGCAAAGAATCGGGCCGGATGTTCCTGAAATTTTGGGTGCCACTACTGCTGTGCCAACGAGGTGCTTGAGTAGAAAGATCAAAGTGTGCCATGTTAGGGGATGCACCACGTTAGGGGCGATGAAGGATTATCTGTCCATTTCTTGCGAGGTGCTTTTTTGGAGTGGGGTTTAAATTCTCATTCTTTTCTCTGTCACTTTATACAGCAAACGATATCCAGACTCACGAGGTAGAATACGGCTCCGACGTATCTGTCCATTTCTTGAGAGGTGTTTTTTTCGGGGCGGGGTTAAATTCTGATTCTTTTCTCTGACACTTTGTACAGCGAACGATATCCAGACTCGCGAGGTAGAGTATGGCTCCGAAGGGCGGGGTTAAATTCTCATTCTTTTTTTCTGTCACTTTGTACAGTGAATGATATCCAGACTCACGAGGTGGAGTACGGCTCCGACGGCGAGCAGAATCAGCCCCTGGATCTGAGCCGGCAGGGTTACCTGGATAGAGAGGCTGCCATCGCAGATGGAGTGCTCGGCCCCTCAAACAAGCAGCACATGCTCAAAGTCCCGTCGGTCACTGTTCATCGGTAAGTCATCTCTGATGTTATGATTTTAAAAAGTAGAGTCCACCCCCGGACGAATATGACTCATCAGCGTGTTGTTTAACTCTAGTATTCTTAGCATGAAAAGACTGAGAATAATTGTGTCTGTTCCCACTGGTTGGGATGCAAGTCCATCACAAGTTACTCCCCAGCTAATGTTGGTACCCATTTACACTCCTGGACGGAGAGGGGCAAGCGTGTGTTAAATGGCTTGCCCAAGGACACAGCATATAGCCAGCTGCAAGATTCAAAGTGACCCCCCCCCCGACCTGTAACCATGACCCGCTATAGAAGTGAGACCAAATTTCCACTACCTTGTTGCTGTTGACATCGTAACACCTTTACTAGCCAATTTTCTGTATAAGCCCTTACACATTCCAATTGCTTGTGATCCTTAACCTAATACATGCACACTGAAGCTTAAATCATCAGTGCCTAGGCATATGGCTGATTATACACTGTTGCGATTATCAACCTGAGCTGTAGAGTTGTATTTTTCGTGATTTAAATTTTGCTAAATAGTTACACATGGTAGAAAACTTGAATTAAAATCTCTTTTTTTTTACAGTAATATCAAGGAATGTAGTTGTGGATCAATACTAACTCCTCAAGATAGTAACTGAAATCAACAAAGGATTAAACCACCAGTCTCTATTTAAGTTATTGACACAAAACAGACAAAGCCCTCAAAGCAACTCCCACAAAAGAAAGGCAGTTCTTTTTTAAGTAAAAAAGTTTGAGCAGGTAATACTTACCTCTGAAATGTTTGTCCACTTCTTGTTGCAGGCCATCCAAGAACAAAATGGGTCGCCCCACCAAAGGGTACGGCTCGGCGTCCTACACCCAAGATGACCTGAAGCTAGCACTTCAGGAGGTCCGGTCTGGCAAGGTTGGCACCCGACGTGCGGCCATGTTGTTTGGCATCCCTCGCTCAACCATCCGCAACCATCTCAACCGACATAGCTTCCTCGTTGTAGAGGAAGACAACGACATATTGGATGCTCAAGACGTGGCAGAGTTTGGCATCCGGGGTAAGGGGGGCCTGGATGATGAGATTGGTCCGGACGGGAAGTTGATGCCCAACGGAAGACTCCTTATCCAAGATGAAGGGGAAGATATCGTTGCCCGGCTCCGCAGCTTTTTGGTCAGTCGCACCATCCCCGTTAAGCACCTTGATGATGACCTGGAGAGTGGTGTCAGTCAGGAGATACTTCAGGATCTAGTGGCCTCCTACGTCAGGTTCAGTCTGGTTGCTGGTCTGGATGTGGACCACTTACACCAGGAGAACATCACCAAGACTAGACAACACGAAGACAGCGAGTCCAAGCTACCGCAGCACCTTTTAGAGGCACTCATACATTGTCATCTCAGTGCTGAGCAGTCATGTGCAAAGGTAAACGGCAGCTGCGACCCCAAAGCCTTGAAGACATCCATCAAGCAGCCACGCCAACAGGCTCTACCGGACCTAAAGATCCCCCTGTACAAGCCCATGAGCTCATGCTCAGATAACCAAGACTCAGACAGTGATGAGAACAAGAATGACAAGTTGGACAGTCAAGATGGAGTGGACCTGCCAAGCTGGCAGCAAGGCTATGGCCTGTCCTCTAGCAAGCCGTCCTCTCCACAGTCATCTCAAAGATCAGGCTGCTCTCAAGACGGGTCAGGGAAACGCCCAAAGCGGGGTCGTTACCGCTGTTACGATCGTGACTGCCTAATGCAAGCAGTCAACGCAGTCCAAAGAGGAGAGATGACAGTCACCCGTGCCGGTAACGTCTTTGGCGTTCCACATTCTACGCTAGAGTACAAGGTGAAAGAACGACACCTGAAACGTCTCGGCAAGCGGATCGGCAGTCAGAAGATCAAGACTGAGTATGATCCAGGGGAGCCATCCAGCACGCAAGGCCTGTCTGCTAGTGTCTACCAACAGGAAACACAGCAGATGCCTGCAATCAGTGCTGTACACCGGCCATTTGAGAGCTTCGCTGAGAGGTTGCGTGCAATGAGTGAGAAGCAAGCCATGCATAATAATTTCAGTTTCCTCAAGCAGAGTCTTGCTGGGCCACAGCAGCAGCAGCAGCAGCAGCAGCATCAGCAGCCAACGGCCTACCTAGCCCAGACCTTACTAGCCCCGGGTCTCGGTATCAGCCCGGAGCTTACCGATAAGTGCTACGTACTCGATGGTCAGCATGCTGCTGCTTTGGCTTCTCACTCCTTGGGTCTGTCCAAACAGTGGATCGGCTGGCCGGTGCATCCTGCCTTCAAGGCCGCCGCCTATCCACACCTCAAGGACGGGCTGAATGGAACACCAGCCGTCCTGTACGCTGCGCCTGATCTGATGGGCATGCGGAATTCCTCGGTGAGTGACGCCATCAATCGTCTCGTGGAAGCCCAGATTTATGACTCCCTCTACGGTGGGGAGCCTCAACCGCAAACCTCGAGAGGCGCAGGTAAGAGTGAGAGTAGGTCCAATCAGTTAGAATCCTGCATAAGAGAGGCCTTGGATGCGAGGCCCTCTACCTCTAGTGTCAAACAAGAGCCGGCATCGCCTGATGGGGTCCGAGGTTATGGGTCAGGTGAAGGGTCAAAGAAGAGATCTCATCTGCCAGACAGTGAACCACCGCACAGTGCCAGTAAAATAGCAAGGGCTGATCAGGATTAATGGCAACTAATTTACATGTGTGGTAAATTTTATTGAGAATAAGATTTCATATCATTTTGAGACTTCGGAAGAGTAAGTTAGGTCCGTTGCTCCAAGCCTCCAAGGGGGTTAATAGGAAGAATATTTGTACAGTGGAACGCCGCTATAAGAACTTCGCGGTATCCACAGAAAGTGTTTGTAATTTAGCAATCGTTCGGTATAGCACGTTCAAGGTGTCAGTACTCCGGTACTCACTTTTCAATAAGTAGTGCCCAGAACTTCAACCTGCACACCCGCCGGCCCTGGTAGTTACAGCAAAACGACTTTGAACACGTGCCGACTATCGAATCATGTAATTACACAGTTTTTAATTGAGCTTGAGTTTTTAATATTCCTTGTGGAAATAATAGCAACTTGTCACTCTTCTGTTGACTTTTTAACAACAATAATGTTTGGGTAGTTTTGTACACAAAAATCGGAATCCAAGGACGATGTTTGGTATAGCAGTGTTCGGTATAGCGACGTTCCACTGTATTAGTTTCTTTGACAAGTTTTTCTTTTTGCTTTTGATCATTGAGAGAGTCCCTGTGACAATTACAGTCAGATCGTGTGAGTAAATCCTAAATGCTGCATCACAATGTGTACGTGCTTCAATGCCGTTGCTTAATTCTGCAGAAAGTGCGAAACATGCATCATACATGAACATGTGTTTTTGCGCCTGTACACAATGTCAGTTACAGGAAGTTTGCCGTACAAAAATGTACATGTATATGTAGTAATATTATGGTTACACCTGTATAAGATATATACAATGTACAATGTATAGAGGAATCTTAATAGCTTGAACAGTTGGACTTGTACATGGCACAAGCAAATTGTACTTTCATTTTGTCAACATGTTAAAATAGTCTCTCGGTATTTAGCCAAGGTGCTGACGGCAAATCTTTCATGTTTTTAAGCAAGTGTAGTGTGCTACAATCCTTAAAACTTAAATAAGTTTAAGATTATGAACTTTCTCCATTTTTCTCCTTTATTTAAAATTTTTAATAATGAATTATTAAAACAGATACTGAAAATTACACATTTTGTATTTCAAGTTGACTTTTAACACATGTACATGTCACAAATACATGTACGGAGTGTTTTTTTTCTTTTACATTTTAATACCATTCGCCTTTTTTCCTAGGGGGTATTTCTAGTTTCTTGTTTTCTCATACTTTTAAACTTTCTTGTGTTTCTGTTTTAGTTAGAATATATTAGTTAGTTTGTGAGATTTGATTTTAGGAGGGAATTAGTAATTACATTACATGTATGGGTCAAAGAAAAGACAACTTTCAGACAACTAAAGCTCTTGCAACTCACAGATGAATTAATTGTGTTCTGTTTTGTCTTGAATTAGAAAATAAGTGGCCCTCCATTAGCACAGTACCCTGTATGTACATACCGTACCTCGCGTAAAATCTTTTGAGAAATTTGTCGGGCTCACAAAAAAATAAATCTTGCTTAACCTCCAAAAAGTTAAGTTCTTTTACAATACACCAGCAAAACCAGGATGACACATGATTGTGAATGGACCAATAAGAATTGAGCTCTCGCTCATGAATATGTATGGAGGTATAGTAACAAAGCCCATACATCAATACATGTACTGTACACGTAACCGTTCTACAGCTCGTTCTTCAGCTTTCATCCGAGTACGGACCTAGGGCTGAGTTGTCTGAAGAGCTGCTCTTTTGTTATGACCTAACTTTTCAAAACTTTATTCAGGTGGAAATTTACTTGTCTTGTGTTGACTGGAATTAATGTTTACCTCGTAAAAAAAAAAATAAGTATTGGTTTAAAAAGAAATGTGTAAAATAGTAAACTCTATGCTTGCTTGCCTTAAGGGGGCAGTTATATTTATTATCTTTCAATTTTGGTTTTTGTTTTTGTTTTAGCAAAGAAATAGTCTATATGTTGGTATGACTCACTAGTGCAATATTTACACGTAGACACCTGTCAAAAGAGTATATAGGTTTAGTATATTATATATTTCACTTCTCTTCTGCAATTCTTCAATTTACATTTTATGGAAAGTGTAGGGTACGTGTACGTGCAGTAAATGCATATTTTTTGAATGTTTGTTTTGATGAATAATTGCCGACTACTTTGATAGGACAGTAGAGTGCAATTTGCGATAGTGTGCTAATTAATGTTCACCCGTAGATTTGTGTTGAAATTGAAACGCTGTATGAGTAAATACATGTAAACACACATTTTAAAAGTTTGGATCGCGCACGTATGTGTATGCCACTGTAACAATACTGTCCTGCACACACTGGAACGGCTAGGTTTTATTCACATTAGGGGGATGTGCGTAATACCATGTCTGTATGTCATGCACAAGAATACGTGGTCACGGGTACATGTGGTTAAACACAATTTTGAAAACAAAAAGGAAAAATTGTGTCATAAACAAGGATAACTGTCAGATAAATGATACCAGGATACGTGTATGTAGCTTAGTCCCGGCTGCATGAAGAAAAACATTGGGTGAAATATTGGCACTGGGAAATATCAAATAAATCAAACTGTCCAGAGTGTCGTTCAATTACTTTCTCTTTTTGTGGGGGGGGGGGGGGGGAGAGGGAAAGTACCTCAAGTGATATACATGTACATGTATCTTCTTTGTTTCATATTTCCCCTTGCCATCTGCTTCAAAGTATTTTAAAAACATATCAGAATTAAAAAAAAAATAATAATTTGAGGGCCAAAGGTTTTGATCCTGGCAAGACCCTTGTCAAGGGCCTTTTTTTTTCTTTTTCTTTTAATTTGAGTGACTCTTTCAAAAATCCGCACCCAACTTAATACACCATTCATAGTGAAGAACTAATGTGGTTTTAGGAAAAAGTTTTTCCTATGTGCATGTATATCCCTGGGAAAAAATGACAATGTTTTGATCAAATTCTGGAGTTCTTTTAAAAAACACATTGTCACTCGTGCGCGACATGAGCAGTGCATAATGTATAGTACGTTTTTAATGTATTAATGTGTGGTTAACAGAACACAATCGCTGATATGTTATATCTCTGATTTCACTTGCACGAATCACATAATAAAATTCAATATAGTATTACTGCAATTGCTAAATTATTAACGCATTGATCATTAACATAACAATGCCCGTGCGTGTCTTGCGTATTGATAATTTGCCCACTATGAATTCATTTTGTGCTTCATCTTGATCCTGTGATGAGTGATACTCGATGTATGTATGATGTGTCCCTTCTTTTTGTGTGTGTACATGTATACAATGTATACTACATGTATACATTGTATACTACATGTACATGTATACAATGTATACTACATGTATACAATGTATACTACATTTGTGTACATGTACATGTATACAATGTATACTACATGTATACAATGTATACTACATGTACATGTATACAATGTATACTACATGTATACAATGTATACATTATACCTCATTATTTTGGCTGATGTGAAGTACCCTCATCAATTGCCTCCAACCACATGAATGGAGAGACATTGTTTTGTTCCTTGTATTACATGTAATTGCACATTATGGTGACGTCACCTCGCATGCACTCAATATTTTTGTGGGTTATTCCTGTGCAGAACTTCAGCCTGAAATCATTCAATTTGAAACGTGATTGATAAAAGTACCACTAACAAAAAAAAAAAAAAAAAAAAAAATAGGAACAGAAAAAAAAAGCATTATCACCTCAGTATTGAAAAAAAAAAAAAAAATCACCATTGTAGAATTTGTACATGTACATGTACATGTATGACACAAATTTGTAAACCTTACACAATGGCAAAAAAAAATGCACCAATTTTAATGTCATGTACATGTGTATGTAAAACCCCAGTATTAAATGTTAATTGACACTTTAAATGTTAATTGACACATATATTTTGGAGGCCTCTCTGAAACTCTGAAAGAAAAATTATCTCATTGTATGTGTAATAATATTTGGCAGTTATTTATTAATAGTTCGCAATGTTAGCATCTTGCCCTTTATTTGCAATTCCATCTCATTAAAAATTATAAAAAAAAGAGATATCAGTCCATACAATTATGCTTATCTGTATTAATTTATTAGACATCTACACAGTGAAGCTGATGTATGTATGCGATTACAGTGAATGACGTAGTTACATTACATTTAAATGTCTATATATATATGGGAAACAGAAGACGCACCTATTTATTGCTATTTATGTGTTAATATATTTTGACTTTATTTTGCCCGTGGGCATATTTATTAGGCTACTTTGTTTTTCCCCTTCAAAATTTTTTTTTTTTAAAATGGAAGTGCTGTTTTACGGAATGTGCAATTTCAGATTAGTTTTACGTAAAAGTGTCATAATTACCACATGCCTGGCTAAAGTTGTGGTGTTTTTTTGCTCAATGTTTTAGTGCACTTGAAGGGTGAAAACCATTTTAAATATATTTTAATGCGATTCATTAAATGAATCTATAATCGTATTCCCCCTGAAGGATACTTATACTACAGATACATTTTGTACCAATTAGTTCCTGTAAGGGAAGGCTTTGACTCGTTGTGTGGTGAGCCAGTATATTTGCTTAGAAGCTAATATATTGGCTCTACAGGATATCGGTTGCGCATTGAATATGTAAAAGGCTATGGACAAAGTTTGCCAAAAAAAAGGTACTTTTACTGATTAATGGAACAACAATACAATACATCTGAAGCAGGTTATTCAAAAACTAAACTGTCTAAATTTCAGGTGCATTTGTAAGTAGATACCATGCTTTATGAGAACACTGTTATAATGCATCTTTACTTTTCTCCATGCATAGCAAGGTTTCCGTTGATAGCCAACACTTCCAAAAATTTTATTTATTTATTATTATTATTATTATTCTGGTTTATTAATCATTGTGTTTGTAGCCAGAGGCTAAATTGCCACAATACGTACAAATTAAAAACACAAAATCAGAAACACAAACAAAATATTTGGCAGTTTCAATTTTTGAACATTTGCAAATGTTGTCCATTAACCTTTGAAGTTCTGCCTCATTTTAGGAATTTTTTCTGTAGTGAAAGAGTGATAGACTTGTTCAGAAAGGCAGCTTGATTTAAAAAAAAACCCCAAACCTTGATATAAGCCAATTGCGATGAAATAACACAATAAGAACGTAACTTATTAGCCAAGTTTGTATTAGGAATGGTTTCTACATGTAGTACGTATATTTAGTGGTCACACTTTAGCCATGGGTTTTATTGATATACACGTAACTGTACTAGTACTCAGAGTTATACGTCAAAGTGTACAACAGAAATCATGTGCCTATTTTAATTAAAACGGACAAGCATTGTACTTGTGTTCACCAGTATTACGACACAGTTGTCGACGTTTCAATTTCTTCATGGCGTTCAATTTTTGCATGTGATCTTGTCCCCCCCCCCCCTAACAGTGATGCACTCTAAAATAAATAACCACAGTAATATTATGATGCATAATAAAATACCACTCTACATTCGGAATCAAATACAACTTATGTCAATTTAATAAAACAGAATTCTCTTAAATCTATTCATGGCAAAAACAAAAGTAAAAATTGTGTGTTTACATAAACACCATAAAACAAATTATTCAGGTGCATGTTCTGTAGGTAGGCAGGAGAACAATTATATGTTAACTTAATTTATTTACTTCACTTAAGAGCATTCTGTTTAATTAACCTTTTTTTTTTTTTAAATTTAATTAATCATTAAAGCAAAATATAATACTCGTATTGGGAAACCACTATTTTCTACACGTACTTTATTTCAAATTTTCCTCTCAAATGTGGCAATAAAAAGTTTTGAGGTCGGCAAATAGGCTAAAAAAATCCTGGTAAGTCCGGTTACTGAAAACACAATTGTTTTTGTTTGGCCTTATACATGTAATAATCAGTTAAGGAGAATACACGAGAAAGTGTGGATTCGTAATTTAAGAATTCACGAGGCGCGAAGCGCCGAGTGAATTCGTAAATTAAGAATCCACACTTGCGAGTGTATTCTTCGACTTAAACCATTGCGTCAACAGAAGTATTGGAAAGAATGCTGCAACCTGACGCCTATTTTTGCTTCATATATCATCTCAATGAAGGTCATTCGTTGCAAAAATGATGATAAGACATGAATCTGGGACTGAGAAATGTTTCAAATTGTGTTAGGAAATACTTGAAATGACTCTCCGTAGACTTCGTACACAAGCGCGGAAGTGGCGTCAGGTTGCAACATTTGTCCCTGGCATGTTTAGCATGTGTATCGCCACACCCGTACAACCAAGCCATTTTGTGTGTATAGGCTCCTTACGACAAAATGGATAATTCAGACGACGATTTCTTTCTGATTTCAAGTAGTTTTTGAGGTGACGGCGGCGAATGTGACAGTGAAGATGCATTGGTAATTTTCGAAAAACAAATTTTCACGCAGACGGTCCTATTCGGGCTCATTATGGGGAACAATTGTCCGACATGTTCAAAGTGTGGATTCGTAATTCCGAATCCACACTTTTACGAAAGATTCTTCGTTCCGAATCCACACTTTGTGACCAGTGTAAGAGATTCGTAGATCCGAATCCACACTTTTAACAATAGTGTGACGTCATAGCAATGGTTTAATTGAAAAGAACTCACAAAACAGCAAACTGTTTCCGACTACCAAATTTAATAATCTAGAACACTGGGAAAAAAAATAATAAACCACCAAATTTATGCTAAAATATTTACAGCATCTAGATGAATGTCGTAGAACTACAATTTTAGTTGCGCTGTACAACGTAAAAATAAAGAAGTGTTAGGAAGTTCATGACACTTTTAGAAAGGATATTCATGTACAATCTAGTTGCGATCACAAGGAATGCATGATAATCTTTTTACAAAGCAAATACCATCAAATGTACATTTAAAGTGTATTTTTGTTTTCCATTTAGTTGAAACCGACACGCACATGTAAAATGTAGTAATACCTTGCAAAAAAATATTTACAGAAACCCAGAGCCAATGCATTATAAACCTGTCCTGATCTTGGAACTCCAAAACAAATCATCTGAGTAGGTCATGGAGGGTTGGAGGTAGTCAAAGGGCTTTGAGGAGTTACAATTTTTACCCGGCATTCAGTTCTGAGTGATGACAAGATCCTCATCGTTGTTATCAATCTTCAAGCTCTGTGTAAAACACAAACAAATGAACGATATTACTATTGCAGCTTACTAGATAGATATACATGTACAGTCCGTATAAAAAAACGGCGATCGTGTATCCGCGGGCCCGGTTCCTATGTTGGAACAAAATTCACTTTAAATTATTTGACCTACTAAACTAGTTGGCGACATTAAGAACATACAGATATGTCATAGATAGAGGGCAGGGTTTTGAATTGGGGGGTAAAATGACGATGACAATGACAAAACGCAACATAAAAATAAAGATTGCCATCACCGTGGGTGTACCGTGAACGCGCAAGGCGCGCTGAATCACACGGCGCACCAACCACAAACCGCGCAGGAAAATCATAATTTCTACCCCAAGAAACTGTTCAAAAATTACAAAAGAGGTGGCATTATATTGAGAGAAGTCTGCTTTAGGTTGAAAAGGTCATTTTTAGTAATAAAAAACAGTTTTGACTCTAATTTGATGAAAACTAAAACAGGGGCCCTACACTACACGATTGCAACAAACAGATCATTTCTAACTTTATGCAGATTGTGTAAGTTACATCAGTGTGCCTTTTTAGCATCTTAAAGCCACAATCTCCCCTTTTCAATGGTACATGTATATCATTTTTTTTCACATCAGGTCATGGTTGACTGAATAATCATTGTTTTCACACAGTGGGCCAAATTCAGGTCGGGACCAAGTTTTAGACACTGCTATAATCAATGCATGCAGTGCTATTGCAAGAATGTACATTCAAGTTAACATAAAACGGATTACAGATTGTCTTTTTATCTCATAAATGAGACAAAAGAAATGCAGGTTGTACATGATTTTTAACTGTTTTCTCAAAAAGTGTAGTATTAAACTTAAACAGGCTATGATATGAACATTCTATTTTGGAGTTAGAGTGGTGTTGGTGTTGGAAGCGAAAAAAAAAATGCATGAAAAGCAAATGATCCTATTGTGGACGCAGCGCCCTGTACTATTTTTACTCAGAGATACTGACCTTTTCGTTAGCCAGATGAAGGAGGCAGACGAAGGCGATTGGGATGCTGAGGTTCTTGGCCATGGTCCGAGAGAGTCTGTCTGGTAAGATCTGGTACATGTCACTGAAGGACTGCATACCGGCCACTGATGTCTTCTTAAGGACATCGTTCTCTGAGGGAATGTTCTCCTGTAAAGTGTGGACATTTTAAATGAAAACAAAAATTATTGGTAACATTTAACAGAAACCATGTGGGCCAATGTTTACTTTGAAAATGTAGTTAACCGTTGACTTGTATTGGTATCTAGTAATATCGCCCCAAAACTAAAATGCTACATGTATCAAATTGAGTTTCAACTCAACATGAATGACAAACTGTTTTTCTTCATGTAATGGAGTTTAGTTTTTGAAAAAAAATATTTTAGAAAAAATCTTAACATGGTCCAGAAACGACGAATTTAATGCATGTGAAATAAATATCCTTTTTCAATTGGCAATATTTATATACACGTACAGGTAGCTTGCACGCCTAAATGTCCAAAGCTGCGAGCAATATCATTGCGTTTTTGTCTGCAGAGGGTAATAAGCTGTATGCATACATGTGCTATTTTGTTGTCGACATCATCACATCACATAGCAAAGTAAAGTCTATCACAAGCCAATATGGCCCACCAGGACCGGCGTGTATCTCCGGTTTCTGGCATGCAACGACTGAGAATACACACATTTTTATTCCTCCTAGATGGGATGCCAGACCATCGCAGGTTACTCCCCAGGTAATGCTGGTACCCATTTGTACCCCTGGGTAGAGAGGGGCAAGTGGGGGTGAAGTAGCTTGCCCAAGGACACAAGTGGCCAGCTAATGCTGGTACCCATTTATACTCCTGGGTGGAGAGAGGCAAGTGGGGGGTGAAGTAGCTTGTCCAAGGACACAACAAGTGGCCAGCTGGATTGGAATCCCTGATCTCGAGTCACGAATCTTAACCACAAGGTAACACTCCCGTCGGACATCACATTGAGAAAGAGCTACATGTAATGGGAACAACTTTTCTGTTCCCGAGTCTTGATAAATTACTGAAATTCAAAACTCCCGAATCTTTATTACTCATCCTCACGTACACATCACTGTTTTTGAACCATCTCTAGAGTGTTTCCTTATTCTTTTCCTTGAAGACCTCTCAGGCCTATTACCTTATCTTCTTCCTTGTCTGTAGTCAGATGCTGCCACATCAGAGACTTGAGTTTCTTGACGTCCATCTTTTTGGCTGTCCTGGCATACTGGATGTCTATCTTGGCCACCTGAAGCATTCCAAGGGGGGAAACAAAGGCCACAAAAAAGTAACTACATGTACATTTGTTCGAGATTTCACTGTATTTCCCAACTGCCAAGTTGCATCATCGCATTCTACCAGCCAAATAAAGTCCTACTATACATATCCACAAGCAATTTTTTTCCCTGCTTGGGAGTAGATTTAACCCTAAAAGGGCCGGGGGGGGGGGGGGGGGGGGAAAAAATCCCCCCCCCTCAACTTTTTTCGCGATAGCCTTGAATTTTTTTCTGCAACCCGAGCTGTTATGACTTTTTAGCCTCAAGCCTTGCGCATCTTTTGATACCAAAAACATAAAAATCGTACCACGGGGCCAACCTTTAAAAGCCTGGCCCCACATTTTCTGACTACATGTGCATGAAGATTGTACCTTGTGTGGCTGAGCAACCAGCTTGTCTCCTTGCAGGAGGGTGGCGTCAAAGACGCTGTCATTGATGTAGCTACTCTGGGAGCAAGTCTGGCTGAAGTCACTGGGTCCTGAGCTCATATCCCCACCCACCTCATGATCATCATCATCATCCGCCTGTATGGGAAACAATAGTATTCTAACCCATTAGCACCTGTACTACATTGTATTACATTGTAGTACATTGTATTACATTGTATTACATAGTATTACACTGTATATGTTCATAGTATTGCAAATTGTACTTATTCCCTGGTGAAACCATAGATCTCAAGCACTTGAGGCCGTACAGGGTGTATGACAGGCAGGGAAACAATAGTATTCTAACCCATTAGCACCTGTTCTACATTGTAGTACATTGTAGTACATTGTATTACATAGTATTACATTGTATTACATAGTATTACATGTTCATTGTACTTATTTCCTGGTGAAACCATAGATCTCGGGCACTTGAGGCCGTACAGGGTGTACGACAGGCAGGGTGGTTTGGGCCAGTAATACTTGCCTGCCCTGCGTTATTTTCAATGTTCCACCCTGAAAAAATTCTTTTATTAACTTCTTTGTTTTCCATAGCAATAATGCAATAATCACATTTTGATAAGACATAAAACAAAACAAAAAATCCACAAACGACCAAGTACAGGCATGCAACTTGGGATTTAGAAAAAAAAACGAGGAAACTCCAAACCACACCAGACTTTGTACAGTGTTTTACCATTTGTAACATTTGGCATTCACATGAGAAGTAAAACTCTAAGGAAATCAGCAGATCCGAGGAAAAGTTGCATGCCTGTTAAGTGAGGAATAACTTTGCTAATTTTGAATAAATTGCAGCCTGACAGTACATGTAATCAAGGTAGATCACTCAGTGGGTAAGAGGCACTAAAGCAGCCAAAATAAAAAAATATATATAAATATTTTCATTTAAATAAAACATAAACATTGAGAGAAAAAAATGCAGTCTTTGAGGAACGCGGAAGAGCAAATTTAAACTAAGGCTACAACAATTCAACGCTTTATATTTATAATATCACTAGCTGTTTGGAGATTTGCTGTCATGATAAAGTGGGTTGATAAAGTGGGTTGATAAAGTATGACCCTCTTCCCACTGAAATATCCTGACAAATTTCTTTTAACGAGGAGTGAATTGTCAATTTGTCATAAATAGTTTTTGGTTTGTTAGTGGTCATCACTCAGCCGTGATGTGCTTGGCTTTTGTGCATTGCGTGTGGGCAGCGGCGGTATGGCCATGGATGGTTGATGCCAATAGCACAACAAATTTTCACTTCTCCCAAAGGTAAGTGTACCTTTTGAACTTGAACAATAGAGAGATTTAGCGACACATTGGAGCGCGAAAAAACGTGTGTGCGCACGTCCACCCATAAAGGGCTTTCGCCCTGACATGGGCATAAGACCTGTCAGTCAAGAAGTCAAAATTGTTTTGTTAGTGGTCATCACTCAGCTGTGATGTGCTTGGCTTTTGTACATTGCGTGTGGGCATGGACGGTTGATTCCAATAGCACAACAAATTTTCGTTTATAAATGTAAGTGCACTTTTTGACCTTGCCCTATATTTGGCAGCAAGTCAAAAGTGACTGGTCTTTCGATGGAGAGGTTAAGAAATACGTTGCGCACGAACAAATGCGAGCGTGCACACGAACAAACGCGAGCGTGCGCACGAACAAATGCGAGCGTGCACACAAACAAACGCGAGCGTGCGCACGAACAAATGCGAGCGGGCACACGAAAAGCGTGCGCACGGACAAACGCGAGCGGGAACACGAAAAGCGTGCGTACACGTCAGTGCATAAATGGCCTTCGTGGTTGCTTACAATAGAGCGTGAAAGTTGACCTCAAAACCTGCGAAGTTTTACGAGGATAAGGCCTATCCGGGCACCATGCATAGGATCTACAATATGCGTATTAAACGTCCAATTTTTTTCTCATTTATTTTGTGTCCTGACTGGGCCCATCCAATCAATGGCAATAAATGGGTATTTTGAAAAAAAGAGAAAGCATTACAATTTACAACATATTGAAAATATTGGGAATTGATCACTATTGTAATAATTAACATTGTTGACCTCAACTCCCGTTCATTCGACCACGCAGATAACAACTGGCTTAATTCAAACACTGGAGTCTGTGACTAGACTAGTCAGTGTTTAGTACCAAGACGTTCACAGACAAAATTAAACGTGGACTGGTGAGACTTGCACGCTCTATACAACGCTTCTAGATCACTAGCTGTTTAGTACGGAAGCTTGAATTGCCTTCCGCGATACCGCGTTACTGTGATAATTTATCACAGAAATCCGGAAATCAAAGATAATTCCTTCCTCGATACCGCGTTACTGTGATAATTTATCGCAGAAATCCGGAGTTCAAAGAAAAATCCTTCCACGATACCGCGTTACCGTGATATTTTATCACAGAAATCCGGAATTCAAAGATAAATCCTTCCTCGATACCGCGTTACTGTGATAATTTATCACAGAAATCCAGAATTCAAAGATACGTATTTCTCGATACCGCGTTACCGTGATAATTTATCACAGAAATACAGAATTCAGAGATAATTCCTTCCTCAATACCGCGTTACCGCGATAACTTATCACAGAAATCCGGAATTCAAAGATAATTCCTTCCGCGATACGGCGTTACCGCGATAATCATCACAGAAATCCGGAATTCAAAGATAATTCCTTCCTCGTCACCGATTTGTCCTTGAATTCCGGATTTCGGTGATAAATTATCACAGTAACGCGGTATCGAGGAATACGTATCTTTGAATTCTGGATTTCTGTGATAAATTATCACAGTAACGCGGTATCGAGGAAGGATTTATCTTTGAATTCCGGATTTCTGTGATAAATTATCACAGTAACGCGGTATCGCGGAAGGCAATTCAAGCTTCCGTAGTTTAGGGATTTTGCACACCTTTGAACAAAAACTGGGCCGATAAAATATGACCCTTCTCCCAAACAAATTTCTGGAAAACAGCAACAAATTTCTTTTCAGCATGAGTGAATTGTTGAAATAGTTGCGTCAGTGGTCATTACTCAGCCGTGATCCTTTCGACTTTTGGCTTTTGTCCGCGTGTCTGGGAGCCTGCGCTACGGCCATGGATGGCCAACTCCACTAATCCAGTGGTACAAAACAGTTCTGCCTACATTTATCCCGCGGGCAAAATATTTATAGGAGTGTACTTTTGGCAACTTGCCCATAAGTAGGTAAAAGTCAAAAGTGGTTGTTGTTTTTAATGTCTAAATTAAAAAAAAAAACAATCAGTGTTTACAAAATCTGACTTGGCTACACAGTTCTACTGTACACCATACAATGTACTTGTATTTTAGACCACTTTGTCAAACTTCTTATCAATATAATCTTTTGGTTGTGAATGTCATTGGTTGAGAAGTGTTCACGAATTAAAGGGCCAACACAATGAATTTGTTTTAATGTAACCTTATTTTCAATTTTTCGTTTTGCCATCTTCAAGGGTATTTCGGTTTTTATGGCTCATGTGAATTTCCATATTCATGAGCAAAAGTTCGATGTCATTTCAGACAGAAACCTCAACAATTAGAACAGCTATTTCAGCACCAAAAGTTGCCAGAATTCTGGATATTTTGCTGTCGTAAATTTTCTTCTCTTCGGGGTGATTCGTTAATGTGTCAGTGCATGACAGTAAGCCAATGAGCAAACTTTTCTTACAAACATTTTCAGCAAGCACATTTTTGGGTTCACAATTTGAACAGAAAATCCCTAACACAAACAGTGTCTTCCTGAAATGACATCAAGGAACAGCGCCCTCAGTTGTCCCCAAAAAATGAAATTTTTATTAAAATTCTTTTAAAGAAGTGCACTTTTTTCGATAAAATTAACCAAAAAGGGATGTAAAATATTTGTCACACATGTTCGAGTATGAATGCAACTGAAATTCAAAAAAAAAATCAAGGCAATTCATATTGCACAAGAGTTTGAAAACAAAAAATTAATCTTACCCCAGTATCTGGACAAAAGTTTGCACAGTCGTTGGCATTGTTGTAGTCATATCCACCGATGCCATCGTCCATGCTATCACTGGTACTCACTTGCCTCCTGACCTGCCATGACACAGAAAATTGTCCGCAAAATCATTGTTAGTTTACTCAAAAGGAAAACCTAGAGGTGGCAGCCAGCAAAGGACCTGTCTGAGGCAAAAAGCAGTCAGTCAGTATAAAGTCAGTCTGTCTGTCACTTCAGCGGAGAGTCGGGGAGTCAGTCAGTCCGTCAAGAAGTCAGTCAGTCAGTCAGTCAAAAGGTTATTCAGTCAGTCATGTCATTCAATCACTAAGTCGAGAAGTCAGACAAGAAGTCAGTTGGACAAGCAGTCAGTAGGTCAAGCAGTCAGTGAGTCAGTCACAAAGTTATTCAGTCAAGAAGTCATTCAGTCAGTCGAGATGTCGAGAAGTCATTCGGGGAGTCATTTAGTCAGTTGAGATGTCGAGAAGTCCTTCAGTCAGTTGAGATGTCGAGAAGTCATTCAGTCAAGAAGTCCTTCAGTCAGTCGAGATACCGAGAAGTCATTCAGTCAAGAAGTCATTCAGTCAGTCGAGATGCCGAGAAGTCATTCAGTCAGTTGAGATGCCGAGAAGTCATTCAGTCAGTTGAGATGTCGAGAAGTCATTCAGTCAAGAAGTCCTTCAGTCAGTCGAGATACCGAGAAGTCATTCAGTCAAGACGTCATTCAGTCAGTCGAGATGCTGAGAAGTCATTCAGTCAGTTGAGATGCCGAGAAGTCATTCAGTCAGTTGAGATGTCGAGAAGTCATTCAGTCTAGAAGTCCTTCAGTCAGTCGAGATACCGAGAAGTCATTCAGTCAAGAAGTCATTTAGTCAGTCGAGATGCCGAGAAGTCATTCAGTCAAGAAGTTATTCAGTCAGTTGAGATGTTGAGAAGTCATTCAGTCAAGAAGTCCTTCAGTCAGTCGAGATACCGAGAAGTCATTCAGTCAAGAAGTCATTTAGTCAGTCGAGATGCCGAGAAGTCATTCAGTCAAGAAGTCATTCAGTTAGTTGAGATGTTGAGAAGTCATTCAGTCAAGAAGTCCTTCAGTCAGTCAAGATGTCCAGAAGTCATTCAGTCAGTCAAGATGCCAAGAAATCATTCAGTCAAGAAGTCATTCAGTCAGTCGAGATGTCGAGAAGTCATTCAGTCAAGAAGTCATTCAGTCAGTCGAGATGCCGAGAAGTCATTCAGTCAAGAAGTCATTCAGTCAGTCAAGATACCGAGAAGTCATTCAGTCAAGAAGTCATTCAGTCAGTCGAGATACCGAGAAGTCATTCAGTCAAGAAGTCATTCAGTCAGTCGAGATGCCGAGAAGTCATTCAGTCAGTTGAGATGCCGAGAAGTCATTCAGTCAGTTGAGATGTCGAGAAGTCATTCAGTCAGTCGAGATGCCAAGAAATCATTCAGTCAAGAAGTCATTCAGTCAGTCGAGATACCGAGAAGTCATTCAGTCAAGAAGTCATTCAGTCAGTCGAGATGCCGAGAAGTCATTCAGTCAGTTGAGATGCCGAGAAGTCATTCAGTCAGTTGAGATGTCGAGAAGTCATTCAGTCAAAAAGTCCTTCAGTCAGTCGAGATACCGAGAAGTCATTCAGTCAAGAAGTCATTCAGTCAGTTGAGATGCTGAGAAGTCATTCAGTCAGTTGAGATGCCGAGAAGTCATTCAGTCAAGAAGTCCTTCAGTCAGTCGAGATACCGAGAAGTCATTCAGTCAAGAAGTCATTCAGTCAGTCGAGATGTCGAGAAGTCATTCAGTCAGTTGAGATGCCGAGAAGTCATTCAGTCAGTTGAGATGTCGAGAAGTCATTCAGTCTAGAAGTCCTTCAGTCAGTCGAGATACCGAGAAGTCATTCAGTCAAGAAGTCATTTAGTCAGTCGAGATGCCGAGAAGTCATTCAGTCAAGAAGTCATTCAGTCAGTTGAGATGTTGAGAAGTCATTCAGTCAAGAAGTCCTTCAGTCAGTTGAGATGTCGAGAAGTCATTCAGTCAAGAAGTCATTTAGTCAGTTGAGATGTTGAGAAGTCATTCAGTCAAGAAGTCATTCAGTCAGTCAAGATGTCCAGAAGTCATTCAGTCAGTCGAGATGCCAAGAAATCATTCAGTCAAGAAGTCATTCAGTCAGTCGACATGTCGAGAAGTCATTCAGTCAGTCAAGAAGTCTGTCAGACAGTCAAGCAGTCATTCGGTCAAGAAGTCAGTCACTCAGTCAGGAAGTCGGCTGGTCAAGAGGGGAGTCAGTCAGTCAGGAAGTCAGTTGGTCAAGAGTCAGTCAGTCAAGAAATTAGTCAGGGGGAGTCAGACAGTCAGGAAGTCAGTTGGTCAAGAAAATCAGTCAGTCAAGAAGTATTAGCCAGACAAAAAGTCAGTTAGTCAAGAAGTCAATCGGGGAGGAAGTCAGTCAGTCAGGAAGTCAGTCGGTCAAAAAGTCAGTCAGTCAAGAAGTCATTCAGTCAAGAAGTCCGTCAGTCAGGAAGTCAGTCTGTCTGATAAAAAGGGGAGTTGGTCGGTCAGTCAAGAAGTCAGTCAAGAAGTCAGTTAGTAAAGAAGTCAGTCGGGGTAGGAAGTCAGTCAGTCAAAAAGTCAGTCAGTCAAGAAGTCATTCAGTCAAGAAGTCCGTCAATCAGGAAGTCAGTCTGTCTGATAAAAAGGGGAGTTGGTCGGTCAGTCAAGAAGTCAGTTAGTAAAGAAGTCAGTCAATTAACAAATCAGTCAGTCAGGGAAGTTGCAGGACAACAGAATGGCTCATTGGCTTAGGCAAATCTTACCACAAAGTTTGGCTTGAGGAAGAGCTTGAAGAGAGAGTCAGGGTTGTAGTGGAGATCCCCTGGCAGTGTGGTCACATTCTTGCTGTACTTGTCCAGGGTGGCCTTGGATAACGTGGTGGCTGCCTGCAGGGTCAAACACAAGTAAATCTTGGAATTGAAAGAGTGGAACACAGGGAGTTGCAAAGGACCTGTGAAATATGAAGATTCCGACTTACATTTCTGACGAATCTTAGCTTCATGAAGAAATAGATCTTTTGGTTTGGGAACCAGACTAGGGAGCCCAACGGGAGAGATATTCGAACGCACGGGTGCGCTGATGACCACGCAAAGACGCTACATGGCTTTGTGCACATTTAGAATTGTATTAGTAGTGCACGCTTCGCGCAATATGTACGCGAACCAGAACGCACCCGTGGTGTAATGGAGATCAATGGTCCCGTCCACGGAGATCTCAAAAGTGGTGAAAAACGCCCTCTTTTGTTGGCGCATGGAGCCCATACTGCTATGCCAACCCGACTCCCCAGTATCCTTAAGCCGTTTCAACGATTAAAAAAAACAGTGTCAGCGTAAAGTGTTTTGAAGCTGCTATGTCTTGTGCACTGCTGTTTTGCCATCACTCTGTTTAGATATTCGTAAATTATGAGCGCAAACCTTAAAAAAAATCCAATCAAATGTAGTCAGAGTTTTAGAATGAAGGGTGTATAGGGTAAGAATTGAATTATGGCCTCTGCGCTTGGGCTCCATACACTGACGAAGAACGGAAACAACTCGAGAGCATTCAAAGATCTGCTGCTAGAATGTGCTGCAACAATTTCACCAGAAACTCCAGTTTAACTTCCATGCTACATGAGCTTGGATGGTCACTCGAAGTGGTCACTTGGAAGGTCACGCGAGTCCCGAAGACTGGCGACACGTCTCACCATGCTCTATAAAATTGTTGATGGGTTCGTTGATATTGAAGCTGGGCATAGTCTCACCACACAAACAAGAACACACAGGAGGACTCACCAATTCTCATACCACCGACTTCATGCCAAAAGCAAGATCTACAGCACCAGTTTTTATCCATCCACAATCCCACACTGGAATAACCTGCCTCCCAACGTCAAGCTTGGATCAATTCAAAAATGCCCTCAGTGATCCCTTGTGCAACATCAACGTCCTCCCTTAGCCCCGCGCCACGCCAACTCTAGCGGGATGCGGCTGTAGCCGTTTTGCTGGAGGAAACCTATACAGATACAGAAGATATAACGTAATGACAGGTCTCATACGCTGCCATCAGTCTTACCTTGGATTCTGAGAAGTACTTGTCAAAGTCCACATCTTTGTCGTAGTCTATCCTGAAGACTGGCTTCTTGGCCTTTGCCTTCTTATCCTCATCTCCGTTTGCCAGTGAGGATGAGTCTGAAAAACAAGAAAAGAGATATCTTAAAAGAATGTGACACATACTTATTCTATGGGAAATAATCAGTTATATAAAGCCCCCCCCCCCCCCAAAAAAAAAAAAAAAAAAAGAAGAAAAAAAACTCTGCTTCCGATTACATGGCATTCGAAAAAAGGGTAGGTAGGTAGGGAATTTAAAAAATTTTTTTGCAAATAATTTTTGTGTACAATCATATGGAAGGGTCTGCGTGTAGTCAAGGGTAAAAGGTAGAAATTGATGGTTTTGGGTGTTTTTACTCATTTTTCCCATAAAAAAATTAGGGTAGGGGCCGTCAGAATACGGTAGGTAGGGAAACCAGAAGCATAACTATTTTTGTGTGTGCCAAATCCAAAGCATGAATAGTTTGCCATTCCAAATTGTTCCCAATTTGGGCATTTCACAATGCAGTGTGCCACCAAGAGTTTGCCACAGAGAGTCCATTTTCTGTTCAGAATACCGCAAAAACTTTACGTGCATACATGTCATCCGACGTATACTGCTTATGAATCTATTCAATTTGGAGTTGGGTTTACCTTTAGAATGTGGCTTTAGTTTCCAGTGTTGTGGGCCAGCCCATGTGGTCAGTTTATCCATATTGAAGTAGGAGTACTCTGTGGGCTGGAGGGACAACTGCAGACACAGCTGACCGGCTGTGGACAACGTCCTGCACCTGTTGGATGAAGACAGATCAAATGTCTGCTTTTGTGATACATGCTTAATGCTTAAGATCAAAGCACTTTACATTATAATCACCCCTGCTCATTGGGACAATGAAATTTTCCAAATACCATCTCAGCTCCCTGGGGACATCTCAGCTCCCTGGGGAGCTAAAACAATCACTATCTCTTCCCTCACAGATACCTATTTTACTCCTGAGTGGGGAGAAGCAATGAGTGACAAAGTGCCTTGCCCAAGGGCACACACACCACAACCCCAGGCTGGAATAGAACCCAGATCCTGCAGAATCACCTGCAGACCAAGAGTTCAATACCCCAGACCACGAGGCCACAGCACTCCACGCGACGCGGTGGTACATGCACACCACCTTGTATTGGTCTCAAAACCTTCTATAAAATATTTTAGTCCTCGCCGCTTTGTACACTTCAGCTAGTATAGACAAGTTATGTGATGTACAGTACAGTGAGGGTGTGGGCGTCAATGCAGACCCAGGGGGTGTTGCATCATACTCGACAAGGAGGCCCAGACTCGACAAGCTGCGCTTCTTATGGACCCCCTCCATTTCCAAACTTTACTGCTAATTCTTAAAATTAATGTGGCCTGACGTTGCGAACTTAGCAAGTTCTTCTTCAGAGGCTAAAACAGAAATGACAGAGATACATACATTAACATGGGGGTGCACACAAACATGCAGGGCTGAAAGAAGAAACACAAAAGGAGGATTAGGAGGGAAAGGTGTGGAAAGATGCAGGGGAGGGTGGATGAGAGAACAAAGAAACAAAGGGAGATGGCAAACCACAAGGGGTCTGGTGTAAACAGGGGAGGGACCAGAAAGGGGAAGGATCAAAGGTCACAGGGAGTGGGAACGGACAAAAGAGTGTGAGAGTGAAGGGATGATGGGGGGGGGACAGTATAGAGGTGGAAAGGGATGAAAGATGGCGGGAGATGTGTAAACACAAACAAGGAAGACCAGATGGATTATCTGTAACAGAGGACAATGGAGGAAGAAAAGGATTAATCATTTCCAAGTTGGATGTTGAGACCATGTGGTTGAATAGTTCGAAGACGATTCATCCACACCTTCTCTCTGCTGAGGCGAACTGACTCTTTGCGATGGCCAAGAGATTCAATGCCCTGCAAAATCATATCAGAAATGGAGTGGTTAGGCAGGTTGAAGTGATGACCAACAGGGGTGTCTAGTTTCTTGGTGTTGACCGTTGACCGATGGGCATAGAAACGCTTCTTGAGCGTATTCTTAGTCTCACCTACATACTGCACTCCACAGACCCTGCAAGAAATGAGATATATGACATTAGAGGTGTTACAAGTGATGTTACCAATGGTTCTGTGGGTAGTGACAGAAGAGTGGCCAGAAAAGGAGTCAGACTCCTGGATATGAATCTGGCAGACAACACATCTGGAACTGCACTTGAAAGTACCATGCTGGGTGGGAGGGGATGCATCTAAGGATGGGACTTCAGCTCGAACAATCAAGTCCCGTAGATTTCGAGGACGCCTGTAAGCCAATGTGGGGCCGTTGGGGATGGCGCGGGCAAGGCGATCTGAAGTATGGAGGATATGATGATTGTCATTAGTGATTTTGCGGAGGGGAGGGAGATTGGGGTGAAACGTGGTAACCAAGGGAATCATGGGTTTGGCCATGGCATCAGGGGCCTTTCCCGTGAGAGCTTGATTTCTGGGGATAGATTTAGCTCTGGCAATGGCACGATGAACTTGGCGAGAGCTGTGACCCCTGGCCACCAAGTTGTTCTTCAGTATCTGTGTATGGCGGGAGAAATCGGAATCATTAGAACAAATTCTTCTGAGTCTGAGTGCCTGGCTAAACGCTATGCCAGTTTTGCAGTGCCTGGGGTGACAGCTGGAGGAGTGGAGGTACTGGTGGGTGTCTGTGGGTTTGGAATACAGGTCAGTGGTTAGTGAGTTGCCTTGCTTGCGGACGGTGACATCCAGAAAGTGGGTTTGGTGAGCCGAGAACTCCGATGTGAATTTGATGGTTCTGTGGAAGGAATTGATGTGGTTAGTGAAGGTCAAGAGACTGTCCTCATCACTGGTCCAGATGAAGAAAACATCATCAATATATCTCCACCAGATCCAAGGGCGACATGGGGCCGAGGCAAGAATGCGTTCTTCGAGGTCACCCATGAAGAGGCAAGCCATCGACGGGGCCATGCGAGTGCCCATTGCAGTGCCGTGTACCTGTAGATAGTGTTCACCAAGGAAGGAAAAATTGTTCTTCGTTAGTATAAGTCTCATGAGGGTGCCAACATCACTGATGGGAGGAGTCGTGTGTCCTGCCTTGGCCAGAGCCAAGGAGCAAGCACGAACTCCCTCCTCATGTGGGATGTTGGTGTACAGAGATGAGACGTCGAAAGTCCCAATGATGGCTGTGCTGGGAATCTGGTCCTTGATTCCTTCAAGCTTGCGTAGGAAGTCTGGGGTGTCGTGAATGTATGACGAAATCTGTGGGACAAGGGGTTTGAGAAAACTGTCAATGAACAGGGAGATGCGTTCCGTGGGTGAGCCATTACCGGAGATGATGGGTCTACCGGGGTTGCCAGCCTTGTGAATCTTGGGTAGCAGGTAAAATCTGGCAGTCCTACAATCACAGGGAGAAAGAAATTTGTGAGCTTTCTTCGACAACTGGTCACGTGATCGCATATCGTCAAGTACCTGTTGTATATCTTGACAGAAAGTGCCTGTGGGGTCAGAGTCAAGGCGGGTATAGTTAGTGCGATTATCCAACTGGCGGTGGGCCTCATCAATGTACTGCTGACGATCCATGATGACCACAGCTGAACCTTTATCTGCTGGCTTGATGATGATGTCGGTGCGAGAGCGCAAGGAGTTGAGAGCCAGGCGCTCCTCTCTGGGGAGATTATCATGAGTCCTGTGGGGGAAGTTGTCCGGGTTAGTGACTTGGGAATTGATAACTTGAACGTATGTCTCTATGGCTGGCACACGATTCTTGGGGGGTACCCATGAACTCTTGACTCGAAAAGGCTCTGGCTCACACGGTTCACTGTCCAGGAAAAACTCACGCAGGCGGATTCTACGGTAGTATTCCGTGAGATCTTGGCTGAGCTGAACCTGGTTCACAGAACGGGGAGCGGGACAAAAATTGAGACCCTTGGAGAGAAGTTTGTGCTCTGCGTCAGATATTGATGAGGAAGAAAGATTAACTACAGTGTTGACAGGGGGTTCTGGCGGTGGCGTGGTAGATGGGGACCTAGGACGTCTGAAACGTCTGTGTCTGCGTTGCTGTTGCTTGGCAAGCAAGCCACCAATCTTCTTGTTTCTCCTGTTGAGTAGGACAGAGTCAAGGTTAGACAAACCCCTTTCAATCTCATCATGGAAATTCCTGTACGTGGAGTCAGAACAACTGGATTTGAGTTGGGAGTCAAGATGGGAAATATTCTGATGGAGGTCCTCACGTGTAAATTGACACTGCTGAGAGAGAATATTGATGAGTTTAATAGAGGCACCATGTAGAACTTGATTCCATCTCCTTTGAAGGTGTGGTGGGAGGTTTCCTAAGCAGGGAGTGTGAGACAGTTGCAAACCTTTGGGGATAAATCGAGAGAGGGAGTAAAAACTGTAGTTATCCTGATGGTAGGAAAAGCGTAAGGCCTTTTCCTTTGCCTTTCTGAGCTGTTGGAAAGTGCAAATGGTGTCACTCATATCTGTAGAAAGGGAGAGAATAAATGGTTAATACAATAAATCAGTGGAGGAACACGAAGACAAAAAGTACAAGTCAAATGGAGTTGCTCATGCCTTTTGAAGGGACAGAGCAAAACAAAATTGTAGGTACCTGTAGTGTGGAGAGAACAGTTTGATTAGTACATGATATAAAACGATCAAAAGAAGGAACAAAACAAAACACAATGAAACTTCAAGACAGCAAGGAGGATCACCACGAAGGGATACTGCAACAGAGAAGTTGAAACATGAAAAAAAGTAAAACTGCTGCAAACTGCTTACTGACTGGATGGACCTGAAATATATAAATCTTAAAATTAATGTGGCCTGACGTTGCGAACTTAGCAAGTTCTTCTTCAGAGGCTAAAACAGAAATGACAGAGATACATACATTAACATGGGGGTGCACACAAACATGCAGGGCTGAAAGAAGAAACACAAAAGGAGGATTAGGAGGGAAAGGTGTGGAAAGATGCAGGGGAGGGTGGATGAGAGAACAAAGAAACAAAGGGAGATGGCAAACCACAAGGGGTCTGGTGTAAACAGGGGAGGGACCAGAAAGGGGAAGGATCAAAGGTCACAGGGAGTGGGAACGGACAAAAGAGTGTGAGAGTGAAGGGATGATGGGGGGGGGACAGTATAGAGGTGGAAAGGGATGAAAGATGGCGGGAGATGTGTAAACACAAACAAGGAAGACCAGATGGATTATCTGTAACAGAGGACAATGGAGGAAGAAAAGGATTAATCATTTCCAAGTTGGATGTTGAGACCATGTGGTTGAATAGTTCGAAGACGATTCATCCACACCTTCTCTCTGCTGAGGCGAACTGACTCTTTGCGATGGCCAAGAGATTCAATGCCCTGCAAAATCATATCAGAAATGGAGTGGTTAGGCAGGTTGAAGTGATGACCAACAGGGGTGTCTAGTTTCTTGGTGTTGACCGTTGACCGATGGGCATAGAAACGCTTCTTGAGCGTATTCTTAGTCTCACCTACATACTGCACTCCACAGACCCTGCAAGAAATGAGATATATGACATTAGAGGTGTTACAAGTGATGTTACCAATGGTTCTGTGGGTAGTGACAGAAGAGTGGCCAGAAAAGGAGTCAGACTCCTGGATATGAATCTGGCAGACAACACATCTGGAACTGCACTTGAAAGTACCATGCTGGGTGGGAGGGGATGCATCTAAGGATGGGACTTCAGCTCGAACAATCAAGTCCCGTAGATTTCGAGGACGCCTGTAAGCCAATGTGGGGCCGTTGGGGATGGCGCGGGCAAGGCGATCTGAAGTATGGAGGATATGATGATTGTCATTAGTGACTGCTAATTATTTTTTTCTTTTCCACTGCATTATGTTATCCATACTCTCTGTTTATATTTTGTTCATTTTCTTGTTTGGAATTGGAAATAAAGTTAAGTTAAGATCAATGACTAATCAATACTTCTTATAGACTTCAGATCAGCAATGTATGTGGATGTCCCCTATCATGGCTAGTCTTGGCCCAAGACACTAGTGATCGATAGTTGGTCGTGCATATCCAATGGCATGATAAGACTAGCGCCTTGCACTAGCATCTTAGGAATTCTGTCTAAATATGGTTTCCCCTAGGCTTTCTTAGGGAACCAATCAGCCATCATGAAATGGTTTATTCGTTCAATCATGCGCACTCGTGTGATGGTTGTAAACATAAGTGCTACGTGCGGTGATCAAGCATTGCTAGTGAGATATGCGAGGCACTGATACTCCCGTGCGGGCGCGCGACTACCGGTATCAAATCGGAAACCGCTGTTTTGTTCTAAGATATTAACATTTACACCAACGGTCTATTTTACATAAAATGGCCACACCCCCGTTGCTGCATATTTCCCAAGAAGTTAGTGCGCGAAAGTAAAAAAAAAATTGTGCAAGGGCGCTCTACAACCATTGCTATTGATCCCTGACGTCTTGAGCCATGACTATATCACTGACAACATCCTAACATAGCGCACTTTTCTTTTTTCTCCTTCAGTGCCCTATAAGAGCAAAGGTTTTACCCAAAATTTGACAGGAAGTGAAAATCTGGAAATTTCGTATCAATAAATCTCCAGTTTACTGACCAGCTAAAAGTTCGGTGGACACCTCGCCCAACCTTGATATTTTTTTCTTATCACAATGCCTCAAAGAGCTTACCCACTAGACCCGACAAGCTGCGCTTCCTGGCCGTCCGCCATGAAGACCGACGCCTCCCCCATCGACCCTACCCCTTCCTCCCCTCCGTCATAGTCACCGTCGTCATCGCTGAAGCCCCCAGCGGCGTAGTGGTCCATGCCGGCCGAGTCCTGCTGGTTGGCAGTGGGATCCTCGAGGGGTTCGGGAACGGCGTTGGGATCAAAGGCGTGGTCGCTCTTGCCCATCTTCTCAATCATGCCGGCAAAGTCATCCTAAATGACACAAAAGAAAAATTATGTACAAAGTCTATGGGATTTGGGATAGAAGAACATGATAAAGGAAACAAGAAAGAAACAAATTAATCTGAACAAAAAAATAAGGCTTTTCAAGAAGTTCTCAATCATGATGGCAAAGTCATCCTTAACTGCAAAAATGTTTTTCAGTTATATTGTAGCTATATTTTTAGTCTAAGTATGATGCACCATATAGCCCACACTCATGATTAAAGGCAGGACTAACTAAAGTAGGCATGTGCGAGTATTGAATTTTTCTACTCAAGCATTATCAAGTACTCACATATTAAGTACTTGCAAGTAGTAAACCAAATTCCCATAGAAGCAGAAAATTAGACATATATACGTTAGTATGACATGAATTAACTTACAAGCAAATAGCTTGCAAGTCACACCACATTCTTCAGCCCTGAGATATCCTTACTGTTCGACATTCTGGGTTATTTACCTACATTTTTTATTTTGTTGGGCATGAATGGAATCCCAGGGAGGGAGACGTGGAGGAGTGATTCTCTGTTTGCAGGGGACGTATTAAGCCGTGAACCCTGAACCTCAATTGAGTACCTGCTTCTACTCGCGTCAGGATGAGTACTCGGGTAGATGAAAAACCACGAGTAGAACAACGCATAGCATTTAAACTAGTTTACAGGATCTTGTAGCCATCTTGAAACCGGTTCCAAATTTCCACCTCCCCGTCACAAAATTGCGGTCTGAATTCAAAACGCTTTCAAAGCAACTCTTGATTACTGGTACCTTGCCATCTTTGTTCCAGTTGGTGAACTCAAAGTCAGCAAACTGTGGACAAATCTGCAGGCCCTCAAAGTTAACACCGGCATAAACGTCTAGAAGATAACAGAGAGGAAAAAGGAAACAGAATAAGGTACAAAAGAATGCAGTAGCTAAGACCTGTTCTAAACACTCTGTCACTGCCGTGTCAAAGCAAATTGAATTGAGCTCTGCAAAGTAGTTTGGTTAATCCGTGAACAGGTTGCGCGCAAGCGTTGACACGATGTACGGTTGCTATTATTCGTCAGTTCTGTGCGTGACATTGCGTGGCTGCAATCGGCTGAATGAGAACGAGTCCCGGATGCTGATTTCAGGCGCAACTCAAATCATGACCCTGCAACTGAGATCATACAATAGTTTTCGCGGAATATACAGCATTCACTGAGATAAAACTTCTTCAGGTTAGTTGTTAAGCACCCGTGTTTAGATTTTGAGCCGTTTTGTTGCTTCAAATGAAAAAAAATGCACAAATGACAAATGATCTACCCTACCTACAGTAAGCAAAACAGTAACAAAACATTTCTGATCGATCTACCCTACCTACAGTAAGCAAAACAAAACAGTAAGCAAAAAAATTCTAGTAACTGTTAAGTCGCGCCATGGAATTGGGCCCTGGTGAGACCCCTGGACATATATAACTCATCGGAGAGATTTAATGTCCCAAGGCGACAGCGCAAACTTCCTCTCATCAGTATCGATGGTACCTTTGATGTCGGATAAGTCCAGCCTTGCCTGCCTGGCAGACTCCAGAGTCTCGTCAGTCTGCGTACCCACGGTGCTTGCCAGCGAGGTGGAATCCAACAGCAGCTCACACTCATCATCCCTGCACGTCAGGTGGTTCAGAAGCAGGCCGAAGGTACCGCCTTCGTCAAAGGCTGCCGAGGTCTTGTGGAATAAGGGGTCCATCTATACCACAGGAATGTATAAAACCTTAGATAAGGCCAAAAAAAAAAAGTCTCCGGTTTCTGGTATGGAGCTTGTCCAAAAAGTGGTGCGGCGACGCGGTTTTTTTTTTTTTTTTACCTGACTTTTTTGCTTCAAATGTCGGCTGATGACTGCAAATGGTGCCCAACTAAACTTAGTGCAAATATATGGGAGTCCAGAGAGGCCACATAAAGCTTATTCTCGATCATAACCCCATCCAAAAACACGTTAAAATTGTGCAGCAGCAGAAATACAGTCAAACCAGTGAGTTTGGTGGTTTTGAGACATCATCTTTCATTGAAAAAAAAACTTTTTCATTTTGCCGATGCGCATGGCTACGGCGACGCGCGCGCATACCAGAAACCGGAGACTTTTTTTTTTGGCCTAATACACACCCACAGAAATATACTATGGGCAATTCCATGAGAATGTGGACATGGCTGAAAAACTGAAAATTTATGAAATCTTCAAATTATAAGCACCATATTCTCAAATGTTGTATCAAGTTTAAAGGGGACATCACGACCCTTCACTTGAATGATGTGCCAGTGAAATGGAATATGGTAAAGTGTATTTTTTGGTCAGCATTTTTCCTTAAATTACGGATTTTGGATAGTCATTTTGGCACATTGTTTTTACATGCAAATGCAAGTGTTATTTTGAGTTTTTGTTTCTAAGGAAGAAAAAAAGGTTCATATTCTCTGCCAAAAGAGGTTTTTTGTTTGATTATTAGTTTCCTAACTGTTTAAACTTGTACCAAAGATGGGCGGGCAAACTGCAACGTGAGTTACCCAAATATATCCCTCTAGAGATTTTATGATTACTTTTTAAAAATTGTAATGGTAGAATATGATTCATACCCAAATGGTGTACGGGCACTAAAAATTGTTTTCCATTTTTAATAGTGCACAGTATGAGGGAAAACATTCAAATTCAAAGCATTTAAATAACATTGTGAGCGTATTTCATCATCTCCTTAAACGATTGAGAGAGAATTTACCTCAAAACCAAGATCCAACTTGTTCAGGTTGATGTTCTTCAGGTTGCTCTCAATGGTGTTGGAGTGTCGCTGATAAAAGTAAAGAAAAATATACCGAATAAAACACAGCTAAATTTAAACAAAGAAATTGACTGAGCTATTCAGCCCTATGTTGGCGGTTGCCCATTTTGTCTATGTCTTTGTTCAAAGGGCGCTAGTCAGAAGCCATAAACCTGTATATGCCATGTAGCCAGGGATCATGCCCAAAGTCACGATGCTAGCAACATTAGCAATGCTGCAAACCTGGGAAATAGCAAATATTGTTTGTTAGTTTTCCTTTTGAGTATAAACTTGTGCAAAACTTAAAACCCAAACACTAGTGCTTGTGCAGTACATATGGTTTTAGGGAAGCCTTAAGGCAAAAATGACCTTCTTGCAAATTGGTGGAAACTAATTAACAATGTTACCTCTTGAATTCACACTACAAGACATGTTACTATACGAGCACTCACTTTCTTGTGTTTCTTGGTGGCATTTGTTCCTGCCTCTCCGGCTTCTGTGAGGCCATCTTCACCTTCTACATGGAAAAAGAACCCTAAAAATTAACATGGTGACGGCACTGTCCTTGTCACTGTACAACCTATTTTCTGGATTTTTAGATGTTTTAGTTTAAAAGTTTTGTATTTTTACCCCTCAAACATGCCAAATAATAATAAATCCATCATCAGATGTTTTTCCTAGATGACTCCCTCACGTAACCCAGCAGGGCAGCCATTTCGGAAGAAAAAGAAGAAAAAGAAAGGGCCTCCTCCTACCTTTTTTACAAAAAGGCAGGACGCTAAACATGTTTTTTTTTAAAAATTTGCCTAATAGTCTTCACAGAAGTTCTCAAATCAAGCGTGTATACTTAAGTGGCATTTGACAAACAAAAAAAACACGGAACTTATTTGATAAAAAAAAAAAGTCAGGTGTGTTTACAAACACAAATGCCCCGCAACCGTGACTGTTTCCATGACATAACACCACCCTAACATCAACTTACATGTACCTTGTTCACATGGAACGTTCATTGACAGCATAAGTGTCTTCTGTAGGTTTTATATGAATTAATCCCTAATCCCTATGATCTCAGAATAAATACAAGATTTCTATTGTTTTAGCCACTGTGACCTTGACGCTTGACCTTTCGACCCCCAATGCGATAGGCTTCTTAGGATTGCCAAGGACAATCCACAAACCAAATTTGAAGTTCATATGTAAAGTATATCTCAAGTTATCACGCTGACAAAATATCTTTTGTTTTTGCCACTGTGACCTTGACCCTTGACCTTTTGGCCCCAAATGCAAAAGGCTTCTTAGGATTGCCAAGGACAATCCACAAACCAAATTTGAAGTTCATATGTAAAGTATATCTCAAGTTATCACGCTGACAAAATATCTTTTGTTTTTGCCACTGTGACCTTGACCCTTGACCTTTTGGCCCAAAATGCAAAAGGCTTCTTAGAATTGCCAAGGACAATCCACAAACCAAATTTGAAGTTCATATGTAAAGTATTTCCCAAGTTATCGCGCTGACAAAATTTCTATTGTTTCAGCCACTGTGACCTTGACCCTTGACCTTTCGGCCCCAAATGCAATAGGCTTCTTAGGATTACCAAGAACAATACACAAACCAAATTTGAAGTTCATATGTAAAGTATTTCTCAAGTTATCACGCTGACAAAATTTCTTTTGTTTTAGTCACTGTGACCTTGACCCTTGACCTTTTGGCACAAAATGCAAAACGCTTCTTAGAATTGCCAAGGACAATCCACAAACCAAATTTGAAGTTCATATGTAAAGTATTTCTCAAGTTATCGCGCTGACAAAATTTCTATTGTTTCAGCCACTGTGACCTTGACCCTTGACCTTTCAGCCCCAAATGCAAAAGGCTTCTTAGGATTACCAAGGACAATCCACAAACCAAATTTGAAGTTCATATGTTAAGTATTTCTCAAGTTATCGCGCTGACAAGATTTGTCCGGACACACACACCCACCCACCCACCCACCCACCCACCCACCCACCCACCCACCCACCCAGACTTGTTTCACATGACTAGTGTGGACTTTCCATTGCTTTCGTGTAGTTAAGAAAAACCAGTGAAAAAACTCATTTTTCTCAAACTGTGAAAACTCTTTCAACCCAATTTTTTTTCTATGATTCCCTTTAGTGTTTCTCTTCATTCTGCTACACATAAACCTAACCCAAAAATGCCTCTAAACCTGTTTTCCAGAAATGGGGAAACACTGTGTGGACGTGGGCAAGTCCACACAACGTCGGTGCTACCTACATTATGTGGACGTCTTTTGTTCGGAAGTCCACACTGCGTATGTAAGACAAGCTCACCCACCCACCCACACACACACCCACACACCCACCCACCCACGGAAGGACAAGGCGGAAACAGTATGCCCCTTCGGCTTCGCCGCGGGGCATAAAAACCAGCAAAGACATTTTTTTCATCTTCTCAACACAGCTCACGTTTTTAATATTCATATAAAAAGTATAATATTCAAGTTATCAGTGGATGATTGAATATTCAAATATTTGGTACCTTTACTCTGTCTATCTCCACGTCCAAGCCCACCTAACATCTTATATGCTTTGAATATTTACATCAGAAAACTAATACTCAAATAATCGGTGGATAATTGAATATTCAAATATTCGGTACCTCCCTTACCTTTATTCTATCTCCATGTCCAAGCCCACCTAACATCTTATATGTTTTGAAAATTTACATCAGAAATATACCATTTGAATAATCGGTGGATGATTGAATATTCAAATATTTGGAACCTCCCTTACCTTTACTCTGCCTATCTCCATGTCCAAGCCCACCTAACATCTTATACGTGTCGGCATGGATGGCATCCACACGACCTGCATAGATCTTAGCACTCGCGTCCAGTGTACAACTTGCAACCTGAACATGGGAAAAAGGGACTGGTAACAACTTGAACTATTCACAAATAAGGATACGACTTTGCGTTTCAATTCTGTAAATAAATCAGCAAACATGGCAAACATCTTAAATATACTGTTTAAACGTTTAGCCATTTCACAAAGGCTGATGCATGCCCATTAGGCGTAATAAAAAACAAGTCAGGTGTGTTTACAAACACAAATGCCCCGCAACCGTGACTGTTCCCATGACATAACACCACTCTTTTAACATCAACTTACATGTACCTTGGCCACATGGAATGTTCATTGACAGCATTAGTGTCTTCTGTAGGTTTTATATGAATTAATCCCTAATCCCTATGATCTCAGAATAAATACAAGATTTCGATTGTTTTAGCCACTGTGACCTTGACCCTTGACCTTTTGGCCCCAAATGCAAAAGGCTTCTTAGGATTACCAAGGACAATCCACAAACCAAATTTGAAGTTCATATGTAAAGTATTTCTCAAGTTATCGCGCTGACAAAATTTCTATTGTTTCAGCCACTGTGACCTTGACCCTTGACCTTTCGGCCCCAAATGCAATAGGCTTCTTAGGATTACCAAGAACAATACACAAACCAAATTTGAAATTCATATGTAAAGTATTTCTCAAGTTATCACGCTGACAAAATTTCTTTTGTTTTAGCCACTGTGACCTTGACCCCTGACCTTTCGGCCCCAAATGCAATAGGCTTCTTAGGATTGCCAAGGACAATCCACAAACCAAATTTGAAGTTCATATGTAAAGTATATCTCAAGTTATCACGCTGACAAAATTTCTTTTGTTTTAGCCACTGTGACCTTGACCCTTGACCTTTCGGCCCCAAGTGCAAAAGGCTTCTCAGGATTGCCAAGAACAATCCACAAACCAAATTTGAAGTTCATATGTAAAGTATTTCTCAAGTTATCGCGCTGACAAAATTTCTATTGTTTCAGCCACTGTGACCTTGACCCTTGACCTTTCGGCCCCAAATGCAATAGGCCTCTTAGGATTACCAAGAACAATACACAGACCAAATTTGAAGTTCATATGTTAAGTATTTCTCAAGTTATCGTGCTGACAAGATTTGTCCGGACACACACACCCACACACACATACTTGTTTCACATGACTAGTGCGGACTTTCCATTGCTTTCGTGTAGTTAAGAAAAACCAGTGAAAAAACTCATTTTTCTCAAACTGTGAAAACTCTTTCAACCCAATTTTTTTTCTATGATTCCCTTTAGTGTTTCTCTTCATTCTGCTACAGATAAACCTAACCCAAAAATGCCTCTAAACCTGTTTTCCAGAAATGGGGAAACACTGTGTGGACGTGGGCAAGTCCACACAACGTCGGTGCTACCTACATTATGTGGACGTCTTTTGTTCGGAAGTCCACACTGCGTATGTAAGACAAGCTCACCCACCCACCCACACACACACCCACACACCCACCCACCCACCCACCCACCCACCCACCCACGGAAGGACAAGGCGGAAACAGTATGCCCCTTCGGCTTCGCCGCGGGGCATAAAAAGTTTAGCATCCCCGCCCGCTTCCTTTTTGGAGGCCGCTCCTTTTTTTCTTTTTCTTTTTTAAACCAAAAAAATGATAAATTTTCAAACTTGTCATCATTTTGGCCTCTTTATCTGTTGCAACTAACCCATAATGTCATTTCCTGAGTCCAATGCCATTAAAAAAAAAATTTGGTGGCCATCTTAAAAAATAGCTCTGTCGGGCGGCCATTTTGGAGGAAAAACAAAACAAAACAAAGGGCCTCCCGCTTCCTTTTTCCCCCAAAAAGGCAGGACGCTAAACTTGGTGTTTTTTTTTAATTTCGTCTTATGTCAGCAGACCGGTGTGATGGTCATTATCAATCAACGACTGACATAATAAAATAAATAGCAGGCAGTCATTGAAAAAGTAAAAAACAAAAATCAAACTGCAAAATGCCAGCCTAGCCAGCACATGAACCGGCTACACCGCTGTGTAGCTCCACCGCGATATCTGTGTCCAAATGGGTTTCGTACACAGAGCTATACCGGTACATGTTTATAGACCACACCATTTGCTGTAAAGGGGTGAGCTTTTCTTAAGAACCATTTACCAGAATTTCCACTGTTTCACAATTACAAAAAAACCCTACTTTTTATGGAGCCCAAACATTTTCTTGTTCGAAAATAAGTTATTCAACGTCACAATATAATTTTCGTAAAGAATTTATTCGAGAAACGATGTAAAACTCCTATAAAAAGGTTGAGGCACCCCTTACAATATCAATGGACGATCCATCCATAAAATGACAAGTTGCCTGTATATCCCTTTTCCAAAAAAAAAATAAATATGCAGATGCACATACATGATTCTCAACTTTGAGTATCGAAGAAACTTTATAAGAGCAAGCAATATTTGAAAGAAATAAAACAAAAATTCTCCTTATACTTTTAAAAACTTCTACTAAAAAATTCAGGGGAAGGTGGCCAGGAATCGCCTCAGACTGCGCCATGGAGCATTTAAAATCCAAAATTTTCTGGGGCCCTTCAGTGGGCCCCGGACCCCACACCGTAAGGGCTTCGTCCTCGCATTAGTCCTTGGACCAAAAATGCCCCTACGCTATGATTTCACCCTGGCTAGAACCAGTCTGAATGACATGAATGTATATTGACTCAATTACCGAACAATATATTTTTGTTGCTTCAACCAAATTTGAAGGCAGTTTTCAGTACCTGAAAATTGGTCATTTCTCCTGTCTTCTCCTTGAGGAGTTCAGCCATGTAGTCAATCAGGTGCAGGCCAAAAGCATTCTTGGCGTTAATTTTCTGATAAAAAAAAAGAAGGGAGAATTTAAATTAGCGGTAGGCATATTTTAAAACAATGCTAATAAATAATGATTAGTTTTTTATTTTTAAATGCATTACATTTTCAAAGAGATTGAGGAGAAATCTAGTGGTGCTGAATGGTAAGAGGAACGGTAATATTCCTCATTATGCACGTTACACATCGTCTGATTGGTGGGTCGTTGATCACATGTCATTGATTTATCCATCCCAACCAACAGCCCGGACGACACCGCAAAAATAGAAGTTCCATTCCACGATATTGTATAGAAGTTCCATTGCACAGTCATACTACTGGTGTTCGGGCAATGTGTAAAACAAATAATGAATGTTGCACATTAGTGCAATGGGAAAGAATAATTTCATTCAGTAACAGATGGATTGCAACATTCCATCTGTCACTTTATGAAATTATTATTACCATTGCACCCACAAACATTCCAAATTGTCAAAACTCTTATTCTCCTAAGTTCCACAATCTCCACTGATTCAAAATGTCATACACAAAATACGGGCCAATATTGTGGGAACCAGACGCCACGATCAACGTGAGAGGAATATAACCCTGTATGGCCCAAAAAATGACAAAGTATCTACATGAAACAGGGAAACTTCTTACATTTTCACGCCACTAGACAATGATATTAAAAAAACATGCACAACTTATGGAAAATACAGAATTACTAAAGCAAGCTGTACTCTATTGCCTTGTGCTATGCATTTCATCAGGGTTACAAGCTTGGTTCAACTTAGGGAACATGTATATTAAAAGGGAAAGCAATTGAAGGCGAATCACTCACATTTTCCGTGGAGAGCTTGATGCAGTTAGCGTAGTGGTCGGTCACCTGGGCAGCATTCAGCCCTTGATTGTGGGAAAGAGATCGCCGGCTGGTAAAAAAAAAAAAAAAAAAACCAAGTAATTTTTTTTATTTTTTTTTAAATTGAACGCCATCAGTGTGGCTGCATCTGAAAGTGGATCAGCTTTCCATTGATAACTTTTCAGATTTTCCATTTCAAAAGTGTTTTGAACTAAAAACCTGTGCAAGAAAATGTATCCCACTTCATCCGTCTGCGTCTTCTTGTTCTGGTACGTTTGCACCTAATTTTCTAAATAGAAGTCTACTGTCAAACAATGTTGCTATCTGACCAATGCTGCACGTTATTCTTGAAAGTAAACACTGCTTACAGAAATTATTTAATTTCCAAAAGCTGAACTTCATTTCAAAGCTGAATTCTGCTGACTTTGTTCTGTTGTCTGGTAAAGCAGAAACTTGATGAACCTACATCAGGGGTGTGAGTGACCACTTATAAAAATAGCTGAAAATAGCTGGAAAAAAGGTGTAAAGAAGCTGAAATTTGGAAATCTCCTATACTTTTGTACACAGCAAGTGAGGGAAAAAGCTGAAAAAAAAAGCTGAAATCCAAAACAAAAAAAAGCTGAAATCAGCTTTAAAGCTGAGATTTCATGTACGTGAACAGTGTACCACCCTAAGTGGGGTCAATATACATTCTTTTCAGTACTTTTTCTTTGGTTGTTTTTTTTCTCTTTAACTCCAATTCATAAATACAGTTTATCCAAGAGCCCGTCACGTGGGTGATTTTAAACTGCTGATAAAACACTGCTGCGCTCTGCGCCACAGCTAGCGCAGTACGCGCAGCTCACGCGCCAATCTCCACGTAACGAGATATTTAGCACTATTCGCGCACGGCACATACCATAAACATGGCAAGATTTGCTCGTACCCCCTGCCTTGCAAACAGGGCGCTGGGAAGGGCTGGTGAGCTTCACAGAATCTTGCGAAGGAAGTACGCATGGCATTCTGGGCAACTTATCATGACCTTCATGTCCATGGACGGCATTAAACAAACAGCTGCATGGCGAGATTTGCTCGTACCCCCCGCCCTGCAAACAGGGCGCTGGAAAGGGCTGGTGAGCTTCACAGAATCGTGTGAAGGAAGTACGCATGGCATTCTGGGTAACTTATCATGACCTTCGCATGCAGCTAGCGCGCGCAACGTATGATAAACTACTACAGCGAGTTTGTGTGCACTGCGTGCTACGTCACAGGTCTCGAAAAGTCTATCCAATGAGAGCTCCAACAGATCAGCCCTTCCCAGCGTCCCATTTGCAGGGCAGGGGTGAGAGCTTGAACAGATCAGCCCTTCCCAGCTTCCTGTTTGCAGGGCGGAGGGTACGAGGGAAGTGGCGAGAGGGGTTGTAATTCGTGTCCAGGCCCCTAGCCGATTTTAAACTAAGCGCACATTTATTCTTATTCAATACCTGTCGCTTGGCGTTCCTGGGCTCTGAAACTGTCTCTGCATCTCCAGGACCTTTGACCGTCGCCTCTGCCGTCGCTCCGCTGCGTCATCGTTCTCGGGGACGTTGATGTGGTGATGCTGCTGTAGGGAGGATTGGCTTGGGAGGTGGGACGGGTGGTGCTGCCGACGGGCAGAGGTGGACGGGGAGATGAAATCAGTGGGCGTGGTGGTGGTGGTGGTGGCACTTGTGGAGGAGGGATGCCTGAAGACTGCCGCACCCCTCTGGGCGGGGGTGTGGTGGACATCCAAGGCTGCTGGCATTGTTTCAACAGTCACATGCACTAGGTATAGAGGATCAAATTGTAAAAACACTGAATAGGTCTAATAATATGTACATGTACAGCCATTCAGCCAATTAAGTAACGATACATGTATACACAAATGTACACACTGAACCAGACAGGGCTCTGGAGTGCTCTGAAACATGCAAAACTAAATCATGCCCACTTTACTCACAGTTTAGCCAGCAAATTTCTCCAAAAATTCCACTGGGGCAAAGAAAATGTCCTCAGTATTTCACCAACCAAGTTTGCAGCCTCAGTTCAATTTTTAAAGGAGACTTTTCTTCAATATTTTGCACATGAGAGGGAAGTCAAGTGATGTCAAAATGGTGCTAAATACTAGACTGGTACATGTCCAACCATGGTCCAAGTATTTGAAAAGACTGAATTCTTCATTCAGTGTCAATAGTCTGGTGGCTTGACTATGGAGAAATGTGTAGTAAATTGAGACTAGTTCCCGCTTCATGCCACATGTTTCTTAAATTCTTTTGGCATGCTTGATTGATGCAGTACTGAAGCTGTGCGGTTGGACTGGTTGTTTTAGGTGCCAGTCTATTTTCTTGTTTTTGCATGTTTTCAACAACTTAAGTTTTGGGACTCTCATACACAGTATTGAGAGTCAAAAATTTTCGGACTAACATTGAACATAATTTGTAACTTACACATACTGTTCAACTCATGGCAGATTTTTGACTTTTTGATAGAAAATATTGGGCTTGGAGTAAAACAATGGCAACGACGACAAAACGCAACACGAAAATAAAGGGCCTAAATGGCAATCAACATGATGCAGCGACGTGAAGAAATGGAACTTGGAAGATGAGGATTGGGAAGATGTGTGGTCTGAAAAAAAAAGATGGTTGCTCCAGAAAAAAAAATCATAACTTTTTTGTAGTGAGAAATTATAGAAAGCTGATTCAAAATATCAAAATATTGGTTATTTAATAAGAATTCTTAAGATATTAAACATTTTGATAGGTTTGGAAAATTTAGAGCCTACACAATGTAGGTGTTAAAATGATAATATTTTGACAATAAAAATGACAGAAGTCGGAATGTTTTCATTGATTTTTTTTTCCATCTCCAAAACGCAAGCTCATCATATGAAACTGATTTAAACGTTATTGATTTTGTCGTGTGAATCTCTTTCCAATGATACCAAATTTTCCAATTCCAGGGTTGTAAAAAAATCCAAAAAGTGCCAGACTCTCTACCTACACTACACGATCAACGATCGCCGTTCAACATATTCAATTTGGTACAATGTACATGTACAATACATGTCTTTTTAACACATTTTGATTTTTATTCTCATGGTCATAGAACGGGGTCCGGAAAGGATGTTGCAACCTGACGCTAAGTACTTGGAAAGTCAAGAATTTTTTTAAAGTATTTCCTAACAAAATGGGAAATGTTTTTCAGTCCCAGATTCATCATCATGTCTCAATATCATTTTTTGTAATGACGGACCTTCATTGAGATAATTTAAGAAAAAAGCAGCGTCGGGTTCAGTCAGGTTGCAACATTCTTTCCCGGGGTCCTAAACTTAACTGCACAATAAAAGGCATTATCATCACTGTTTTAACTGTAACTAATAGGGAGGTTTCGCAAGCGAACGGATACGCTTACACTTACGTTTAGCTATCCGTATCCGTTTTTTACTTACGTGTAGTTTTTTACTTTAGCGGATAGTGAGTGGCGTATGACGTCATACGTGCAGACGACACGCATATCTCGCTCGCTACACGTAAGTAAAAAAACGGATACGGATAGCTAAACGTAAGTGTAAGCGTATCCGTTCGCTTGCGAAACCTCCCTAATAGCTTCTGCTGGACTGACTGTTACTGTTAGTGTTACGGGCCGGGTCAGTGTCAACATGGAGGTCAACGACGCGACAGTCACGATCAAGCGTTCCTGTTCATTTGCGTTAAAGGGAATATACATCATTTGCTTTTGCTGTAATTTTCAGAAATGGATGGAATTGGGGGGTTGGAAATATAAAGCAAATATAGTTGCACTGACTTTTTGGAGGTTTTGGGTTCGAAAATGCTATAAAAACCAAGAAAAACGATCATTTTCCTGTAGTCTGGTTCCCTGACTCCATATAAGAAGAAACAGAGCAGTTTACATACATTGGGGAATTGTAAGGTCAGGGAACCAGTCTAGCTGGCTCGTACCCGTTCATAGGTTTGTAATCGATTGCAAACAAGTGCAATGGTCAATTGGGGCCAGTATTTGAAAAAAAGCCAGTTGTTTCCAACGCTGATCGGCCGATCAGCGTTGGAAATTGATACAAAAATACCACTTTTCTTGAAAATGACAGTATATCAGGTGCCATAATTTTACAGGATGCTTCAGGCTGTCATTTACCAACATCCTATTAAGGTATTTCGCAAAAACTTGGTAGTTTTTTTTTTCGATGTTTGCAAATGTTGTATATTCCCTTTATTCCCTTTAAACAGAAACAGGTTAAACGTTCGTTCGTGGCAACATGAAATGTTTACCTAACTTACACATAATTAAATGTACCATAAGTCTATGAAAATGTACTATACAAATTTAACAATTCAATGCCAAAAGGAACGTATGCTTACCACTGTTGCCTTATGCGTTATTTTCCCACACAAAATCAGGAAATTCGTAAACACAAATTCACACACAACTCAAATATGGCGCTTTCCGTTACAAAATGTGTTTGCGCATGCGCATTTTTACAACGACCGATTTACGTTCTAATAAACATGAAATCTTTTTAAGTGTACTATCAAAACCGGTCAAATTTTAATGCTACAAAAAACTCATCTATTAGCTTGATTGATTAATACAATTGATAATATCACACTTCATCATGTTTGCGTGCAGATGCTAATAGTAATTTTTCTCCAGAAATTTTACTTACTTAAGATAACGAAACAGCCGTCAGATACAAAATACTTTCCTGATCGGCCTAATGTTGGTGGCGCCCTGTAAGTATAACGGTAGCGCGCGGCATACTTGAACGGAATTAGGTTCATTTTTTTTGCTTTTCTGGCCTTCTCGCATACGAAAAAGTAGAATTTACGTTTGAATGAATTCTGGTCCTAATTTTCTGCTTTTACGCTAAGTGAAAAAGTGGACATCTAGGCCTACTTTTCCCTTTTGAGCAGAAAATCAGATCGTATAAAATCAAGGGCAAAACCCAATATTGCATTTACTACGCGAGTTTCATCTTATCCATTTAGAATCAAACCGGCACTAGATTTCGAATTTTCGTTGGGTGACGGCGTATAACGTTGCCTATTCAAACGATCACCAACAATGCATTTTCAAGCACTCTTTCAGCTCTAACTTCTTCCATTTCCGAATTATGTCAAACTTAAAATGAAATGTGAAAAAAGTAAGACTGCTGCAAACTGCTTACTGACTGGATGGACCTGAAATATATAAATCTAAAAATTAATGTGGCCTGACGTTGCGAACTTAGCAAGTTCTTCTTCAGAGGCTACAACCAGAGGTTTTAGCCTCTGAAGAAGAACTTGCTAAGTTCGCAACGTCAGGCCACATTAATTTTTAGATTTAAAAGGAAATGAGGATTCACCTTCCTTTCCACGTGTTGATCAAGCAAAACATGATTAAAAGTTGTATTCATATTGAAATAATTTATTTTTATTAAGAAAAACCCCTCTCGCCCACTAGCAAAATAACAAGATTATACCTTTTGCTAAAACGACAGCTAAATTTGACGTCACAAATTTCTGCAATAAAGAAAAAATACACTTATGAAGAATTCTTCTTTAATTATTGAAAATTTAATTTGGCATTTTCAACATCAAAATATGTACATTAACCATAAACTTGAGTATGCCTATAGGTATAAAAAATAGTAACAATTGAAATTTGTGGGTAAGTGCATTCGTAGCTAATTAAAGCAGCTGCTCAATTACGTCACCTCTAAATTAAACAACACCTCTAAATTAAAGTTGGTGTATACGTGCTTTTTGGGTGTGGCACCCTTTATAGATTTTCTAATAGAATGAACTTATGAACTTTCCAATGAGACATTGCACGAAAAAAAATCGGCCCACGATTCAACTTTGAATTAAGAGCGGGACGCTCCTAATTCGTTCTGAATATAGTGTGCGCAATTTCTGAACTGGAGCGCGCCATTTGAAACCACTTTTTAAAACTGTATCAATGCCTGCAAAAACAACAAGTAAAATTAATTGTTGCAGGCCATTGTATTCCTTTAAATTTCGTTCGGAAAAGAAAATCGAAATTTGGAAAAAGCAAGTAAATACCAACTTTAAGTTTTCTTTTATTTATGGGTTGAACATTAAATTCTACATAGTTTATTTATATCAAATGCGAAATATCATTGTCATGTTAACCAAAAGCTCTTTCATTTTATAAAGCTGCCAAATGTGGACGGATTTGCCAAAGGCTTGAATTATTTACAATCAGAGCCAAATATACAGTTTATTAGCAATGTAATAATAAGAACTGGTTGAATTTGAATACCCATGAAAGAATCTCCTTTTAAAAGGGGAGGGTATGAAAGGTTTCGGACGGAATCTCAAGAGTCAAATTATTTACAATCAGAACCAAAATATACAGTTATTAGAATAATGTTAGATAACAAATGGTTCAACATTCACGAGAAACAGGCAGCCTTTTTGGATTATTATCTATATTTTGAAATCCATGAAGAATGCCTAGATTGTCTGAGTACTATGAGCATTGAGCGACTATCAGGCGGGTTACCAGATCAAAGGCCAGGCCAGAAATCAGGAAGTAGGCCTACTTATTGTTATTTATTTATACAATCATGTATGCTTTTAACAAAACAATTCTATTTATACAAACTACCTACAGAATCGCTGGACTGAGGCCAGGGATGTGCATGTACATGCATGTGCCTAGCTATCTGGTACCTATGTCAAAGCTCGATTATTTTTTATAGTGGTTTAGTAATTTTTCAAATTTTTGATCACAAGTACTTGGAACGACATTAAATGCTCCATTCAAATCCCCATTTGACTTTGTCAGATGCTTCTCTCTATAATGATCAGCTTTGCTGCATCTTCAACCCATTCAAATAGACCGTTTCCTCAGTTCAAACAGCATTTCTTGTGATTTCTGGTGACATCCGGTCACTCCTGTGCGATATCATGTACTACTGGTTTGGTGAAATATTCTGCAAGTGTAAAAGCCAAACTTACAAAGCTAAATTTACATATTGGTATTGAGCAGCTATAAAACTTTCAACATGTTCAACAACAAAACTTTCGCCTCTCACAAACACATGTGCCGTCGTTGATTCCCTAAAATAATCAAATGTATAAACGAGCAAAATAAAGCGAACTAATAAACTAATCAGAAATTGCATAGTCTCTGCTGTTACACTGTAGCGAGAATTTAGTGTGAGCTTAGCGCCTCGCTTACAAATGCAGAAATTCTACTTCAAATAAATTACAACACAACTTGCTGTTCACCCCTGTGTTTACTTTTAGACAAATTCTCAGATTAGAACGTCAATCCTGAATATTGAATCCACCTGAGTCAAATTAAGAAGTTCACCAGGTTTAGGAAAGCACTGAATACACAGTACTTCTGACATTACGCCAGCGAAGTACAAAACAAACTTAAAACCGAACATGTGTTTTCCACAGGAGGTTGTCTAGCGACATGTATCCATTAAAGTTGGATCTACTCAACAACCATGACAACTGATACTAAACGTTAAGTGGTAGATTACAAAATAAGAGGGGAAAAAGATTTGACACAGATCTAGATAACCGCATAGAGGGCAAAGTCCGTGGACAAACTATGTAGGCTGTGCGGGTAAGACCGATACTCAACAAAAAGGGCAAAGCAGGGGGTTGAACATGAGACAATCTCTACGGGGTCAGTTAAATCAGGTCAGATGGTCTAGTAGACAAGGGCTTGCAGCGACTGCAGATCAGCTGCCGACAATTCCCTTCTTGAGCTTGCCCTTCTCTAAGATCTCTCCGTAGTACTTCATGACTCTCTGAAATTCAAAACAGTGAAACAAAGAACTGTAATTGTTAAAAATAACTTTGCCTTCACTTTCTACTGTTGAACTGCATTTCTAAAGATTCCGGGGCTTTACAGTTTTATGCGAATAGAAGTGTTGAGTAATAACTTTCTCTGAAATTCAGAACAGTGAAAACAAAATTGAAACCAAATGATTTGAAAGTAGCTTTTTTAGTTCGCCTTCTCTTTCTGTTGTTGAACTGTGGTTCTCAGATCCAGGGGCTGAACAATTTTACACGAATGGAAATGTTGACTTAAAAGTTCGGTCGTCGGTGCATAGCAAAATGTTTTCTTAATTTATAGAAAATTTAGGCAAATTGTTTTTACAAACATGTGAATTTAAATGACAAGACAAGAACAATTTGAAAATCAGATGGTAGATGGTGTTTCGGTCCCTAACAATTATTTGATGATCAATTAATCAATGGTGGTGTTGTCTCCTGGTCACATTTTTCATTTCGACAAATCAAAAATCACGAAACCTCCCCACCCCCCCCCCCAAAAAAAGAAAAGAAATAGCTGTTCTTTTGGAAGACCCAATAGAAAGCATCCCCCTTCAATATTTCTCAAGCGAAACCCTCAAATATTCTACCTAAAAAAAACCTTCAAATGAAATTGAGATAAGCACACGTGCGTACATGTAGCAAGCTAGAAGTAGAAATGCAATGACGTAGGGGTTTGGGGGAAAAATCCAAGAAATAATTGGCAGAGGGTTATGGGGCCAGTGAAACCCCCAGAGAAATGTAGGATCAATGGTTCATGTTTGTATTTGCCTAAAAATTAAGGTATCCCTTAAAATACCTGTTCGTTTCCCTCTATACATTTAAAGGTACAACACCTTTACAGTAAAACCTTAGGAATAACAAAGTTTCAAAAGGAATTGTTGGAAAATCCTGAAATCACGAAAAATATTGACAAATCCTGAAATTGAATCTTGACAAATCTCACACCTGTTTTGCCCCCAAAATATAATTTTCACATGCAAAACCCTTCAAAATGAATTGAGATATTAAAGCACAAGTGGGTTGCAAGCTCAAAAAAAAGGTACAATGCACATGATGTACCACAAAATAGAGGTATGCTTGTTGACCTTTGATTCCTTTTGTCTCACATTCTTAAAACAGTCTCATTTTTGACCTGATATAGCAGCAAGTTTACGAGACCATCATGACTAAACATTGATAACATTTGATTAATTATCGCAGGTGACGTCTGCATTACATTCACAAAATGAAGGCGGTCGCAAATATTGACTGCTCATCACAGCCAATCTCGGCAAACATTTGTGCCACATTAATATTATTAATGTGGCACAATTGCGGTGGCAATTTATTAAATAAATTGCCACCGCGACTGACATTCTGTACCCAGAGCCTATTGCCAACTTGTGTACACAGCGTTTCTTGCAGCAACCACCTTTGTATTCAAATCGAAAAAGTCAACACCGATAGTTTTTGTAATGCAGAATTAATTAGTGCCTTTATTTGCCTTTAATATAATTGTGCCACCCTCTACTGAGTATGGTGAACGGAAGTTACCAACTTTTGGGGTTGCAATTGAATTCAGCCATGTACATATGTGATGCGATCAAGCTAAATGAGTCGTTTGTCGGGAATTTTTATTTGGAGATTCAGGCCAAAATAAGATCACTTCATCACATCACTTCATCACATCTCTTGGTGTTCCGACTTCCATAATTTTTGAACTAAAGATGGTATCAGCATGCGGTTTTCACAGCAGTAATGCTGAGATTGTGCTCTTTTCAAATCTGTAAAAAATAAAAATTGACCAGGGTCGACAAATGACTCATGTAGCTTGATCGCATCACATATGTAGGTTTACATTGCACATTATGTTCACTTATTTAATTAATTTTTTTATTGCTCCTCACAATCTGTTCAATGTGATACGGTTGGTATATATTGTACATTTATATGTATCTTTATAACATTTAACAAAAACAAACTTTCAAATATACCACAAATGTTTTGCAAACGATCCTTTGGTGAATGAAGTGCCTTCTCACCTTTTAGTCTGGTTCCCAGACCAAAGGATTCTGACCATTCCTAATGAATCTTAGGTCAGGTAACCCCTAGCGCTGCGCGCACACTACTACATTTCCGAAAATGACAGACGTTTTCTGAAAATGACAGAAGTTTTCCGAAAATGACAGAATTTTTCCGAATGTATTTCATCGACAATCTCAGATAGCGCCCGGGTATTTCTGGGTATAAAATAGATTTTTTTTTATCTACCTTGCTCATTTAAGCAAGTTTAAAAAGTAAGATGATAATTAATATTCATCAACTGCATCAAGAAACTTAAAATTCGATGACAATTTTGTGCATCAGTTATGCACTAGGATCGTATGAGGGGCGAGCTTTGCTGCGTATTTGAATCTGGCGACGGTTACCGGGTTTTTCCAACACTCGACGTGGTCTCCATTTTGGCTTCACCTGCTAAGATGATATTTGGCTCCCTAACTTTTAAGATCACAGGTCAACATTTGTCAATGTTTTCTGACAGAAATATAAAAATGTATGACATATGAAGCAGTTAATGTTTTCGAAAAACTTGATTGGAACATTAAAAGCTATAAGTGATATAGCAAATTCGGAAACAAAACCGAGCTTTGAAAAAGGGCTGTCAATGTGGTCATGTTTATTTTTAGCCATGGAGGATGCCTGACCTACAATTCAGACGGCTGGGCGTCGGGGGAAATTGTCAGGTCAGGGAACCAGACTACTCACCTTTCGGTCAAATGAGTGTGCCATTTCAACAGCCGACATGCCAAACTCGGTGCGTACCGTAGGATCAGCACCCTTCTCTACCAACAGCTGTACCAGCGTCACATGACCGTTCAAACTGGCTATCTGCATAGTAGCAAGTTTAAACAGACACAAATATAGTTTGTAAGTCACATGCAATTTTCAACAATCAATTAAGTGAAAGGGTGCAAATTTTGCTTGGGCCACTCTCGCCTGTGATGTCACAAACTTCAATGCCTATTCAACGCCAATGCAATGCTTAACCCAGATTCAGCATGTCCAGGTGAGAGTGGCCCAAGTAAAATTTGCAGTTTTAATTATTTGTTTTCTGTGAATACACACAACGCAATGCAATTTAGTATGGTTGCAGAGGGGTTAAAGAGGTTGTGGAATGCTGAAAGTCGTTTTGTTTTTTATATTTTTTTTTATTGTAGAGTAGACCCATATATAATGACAAACTCCCATTCTTTTGTAATGTGTGTTTATTTGTTTATAAAACTGAAAATTCATTGAGTAATTTGTTGGTCGGCGAGCGCATAATTGAAATCAACAGTCATCGGGTTCTTCGTAAAATCAGAAAAATCGTGACGTAATAAACAGGACTCGTTTATACTACGCTGCATAGGGAGTCCTGTTTATTACGTCACGATTTACATGTACTATGTTTTGTTTGCTGCCCCCAACGACAACTTTTACACAAATTGCACGTTCGGGTCGAAACAGGACCTGAAAAACAGCTCTCAAAAGTACCTTTTGTATTCATTTCATGACAGAAACAATAGTCGGTTTTATTTCATCACACCTTAGGCTACATATACCCGAAAAATGACGGAAATGTCTTCAAGCATTCCACAACCTCTTTAAACTTTACAAATTTCTTTTACAAACATAAGAAATTATAATTCCTCCAATCTTCTTTTCTCGCTTTGCAAATTTACAACGTGAAGAACAGTTTGAACAAGTGAACAAGGATCACGTATGTGTCACCTTTTGTTTGAGGGCGATCCCTATATGTTTTGCGTTTTTAATTTTTTTTTTAATTTTGTGCTTTTTTAAACACCACCTCAAATGACCCCTAGATGACCTTTGACCTCCAATTTCGGAAGACTTGTGATGAACCCGCACCCAAGGATCACTCCATCCAAGTTGCATTAAAATCCATCAAATTCAAAAAGTCGAAGAAACATTTCAATCACATTTGAACAATGACCTCTAATGACCCCTACATGACCTTTGACCTCAGTAATCCGATGAAGAATCGTGTCTTCCCACCCAAGGGTCACTGCATCCAAGTTTCATCAAAATCCATGAAAGCATGTAGAAGTTATACATTTTTTTCAAAAAACTGAACCGAAACTTTCACATACATGTATGGGTCTATGGTCATCGATCAGACAGAATTTTTAGGACAGGCAAGTGTCTCGCAAAACTTTGTTTCGGTGACAAAAAATATTAACCCCTCCCCCACCCCCTGCTTGAAGAAATAAAGTTAAATTTTTTACAAGATCTTATGTGCAGATCGCACATGTGTGAGGCACTATTTTGTCATGTTTGTTTTGCCTGATAGAAGTGTACATATATGTATGTACTTATCCATAACATTTTCATGACATTTTGGCAGTTTCACAGACGAGGCAGGGTCTGATAGTCGTAAAGTGGTCCCAGGCATAGCATCAACTGATTTATTGGTCGTGACACAAGGGTCGATTCCAAGTACATTGTAGTACCTGTAAACCATACCCTCATGACATTAATGTGTTAGTAATGAACTGTGAGTGTTATATTGATAGACCTTCACAACATGGTTTTCATAAAGTCGTAAATTCATGAAAGACCCACTGGGGAATTTTTACGGCTCTTTTATGACATTTGATCTCATAATGGTGCGTGTGGTTCAAAGGTTGCACAAGTGTGCCACATGTTCCCAGACACGTGTATGCCGCAGAGAATTATCACATATTTCATGTTAAAAAATGTTTGTCCAATACACTGATAACAGGGAATGTACATGCAGTTGTTGATAAGCTCGACAAATTGATCGAAATTCAATTTAATCCAAATCACGTTCAGATAGTCCCAGGTTAAATTTGTAAATACAGATTTTCACAGGCTGTTAAGAGTTGGGTTCTTCTCTTCTTAGCACATGTACAACATGTACACCTCATGACCTTGCATTTTGAAGATACGGTATTACCAATACTGAACATGTTTCTTTAACCAGTTCAAGTACTTTTAACCCTAAAAGGGTGGGGGGGGTGGGGACTTTTTAGCCTCGAGCCTTGTGCATCTTTTGATACCAAAAACATAAAAATCGGACCACGGGTTGCTGCCCAGCGAAAAAATTTTCGGCGCTACGCGCCATGAAAACTGAATTTTCCCATATACATCGTGTACACAGAGCAGAATTACCATGCGTACATATGAATAATTAATTAGCCATAATTCCTAAAACCCTTTGACCTATAGTCATGATATTTCTTGGGTATGTTCATGACGAGTTGCTCTATGCATGTACTGAGTTTCAAAATTTTTCGTCACTCGGCTGAGAGATGGTCAAAACAACCCGGCCCTTTTAGAGTTAACCAGATGACGTGTTAACACGATTTGGCTGTTTATATACACAGGCACAGGCTCGCCTCCAGATGACATCTAAACACACTAATCCCCCATTAAGGCGGACCATGTGTTGAACTTGAACAAGGCCGCTGTACACAGCCTGTTGTGGTACAATTTACGCTCCGTGGGCGCACCCCGGAGTGTTGAAAAATATGAGGTTGCGGTAAGAAATATCGTACAAATACTGTTATAATGACTCTTGTGAAGCAGTGTATATGGTATTTGGCTGTATATCAAAAGTTAGCTGCTATATTTTGCCTCTTTCAAAAATCGAAATTTTCTGCAAAAATAATCCCGGCGTGAACTGGTTAAATAAGGTACAAAGGATCATTGTTTTTGGTGCATTTTTATTTGTTTGAAGCAGCAAAATTGCTCCAAATCTTAAAAAGAGTGCATAAGGCCAAAAAAAAAAAGTCTCCGGATTCTGGTACATGCACGTGCGTCGCCGTAGCCATGCGCGTCGGCAAAATGAAAAAAAAAAATTTCAATGAAAGATGATCATTGATGTCTCAAAACCGCCAAACTCACTGGTTTGACTGGAATCCTGCTGCTGCACTATTTAACGTGTTTTTAGATTGGGTTATGGTCAAGAATAAGCTTTATGTGGCCTCTCTGGACACCCATATATTTGCACTAAGTTTAGTCGGGCACCATTTGCAGTCATCAGCCGACATTTGAAGCAAAAAAATCAGGTAAAAAAAAAAAAATGCCGCGTCGCCGCACCACTTTTTGGGCAAGCTCCATACCAGAAACCGGAGACTTTTTTTTTTGGCCTAACAACTAACTTGTTAAAGTTTCAGCTCATTGGATACTATACATTTTGAGAAAACAGAGAAAAGGTATGCACAGTTTTTGGGTCTCAGACCTGGATTCCATTGTCAAAGTGCACACTGTCTTACATTTTTGTAAACCAACTTCAATGATTGCTTTCATCTGAACGACACCATTTCAGGCGTAATAATTTCACAGGGTATTTGGTACTAGTCCTATCTTCACTTTGAGCAAGGACTTTTTCTTGTTGAATCGATAGGTACATTTTGGGGTAATTGCAAATGCTCCTACCAGTACATTGTATGTGCCTTTAAGCCAGATTTAATTGGACACGATTCCAAGCAGAATATGACTCCTAAATTATATATCGAAATTAATTCCCAAAAGGAAAAAGTCACCGAAATTGAAGTTTTGAATTTAAAGATCAAAGTTCATACCATGAGGGGTGTCTTTCCATCCTTATCCTTGACATTAACCTCGGCCCCTGCGTTGATGAGAACCCTGGCCACGTTGGGGTCACCGGCCATGGCGGCGCAGCGAAGCAACGGTGTCCAGCCCGAACCCCAGCCTTTCTGATTGACCTGGGGGGAAAAAAAGAAATGAAGAAAGGGCACAAATGAGTAAAGGTGTAAAACGGAAAACTGATGGTTGGTTATTGGGGTTCAGGAAGACAGGTGCCTCTTGCTGTCTTCCTGAACCCCAAAAACTGACCATCAGAGCCCTTCCGACAGGGGGGAGGCCTGCGTCGTACCTACCTCTCACAGATCACAGAGGACCTTAATGCCATCAGCCTCAACACGATCAGGCCGTTCCTGCTGCCCAGGATTGGGCTTGATGGTTGAGACGAATCACAAGCATTAGATAAAACAATTAGTCACAACGTCTCGAGTCGAGTACGACTCAAGTAGCGTCAACTAGTAGTAAAACGGAAGAGTGTTTAACACTTGGAATGTAACTTGACTGTGCAGACTAATCCGAGCACATATTACTTCTATTGCGAAGGCCCCCTTCAATGGCGAAAGCATTGTGCTAGCTAATGTTCAGATAATCCATCATGGGGCAGTTGCTTTGTACAATAGCGCGCACAATGGTTTCTCCATTGAAGGGGGCCTCGTGAGTGTGTAGTATCATGTGCCCTGGGGCCAATTTCACGGCGCTGCTCATCACAAAAATTTGCTTAGCACAAAAAAAGTCAGGCTTATAAGAGCAGGTTACCAGCCAAAACTCCATGTGAGGTATATTGCTCGTGATTAGTATTCAGCTGTTGTTTGCTACAGCATGAAAATCACATGGAGATTTGGCTGGTAAACTGCTTTTATAAGCCAGGCTTTTTTGTGTGCTAAGCAGCGCCATGAAATTGGGCCCAGATTCATCTGTTTGCAATGTGAGAGACTTATCCATTTCTGTATGAAGCACAATTATGGACTCTGTAATGTAACAGTACATGTAGTTGGCGCTATCTTCTCATGGGAGCCTGTGAGGGGCAACGTGTACATGAACTACATGTTTGCGCTCTAGTTCATGAACGCAAGTAAATGCACACGACCAAATTTCAATTGAAAGTATACACAACCCACCATGCCCAGATGCATGCAGAATGCACTCGATATGGGTGAACGATGGCAATATGGCATTCAAGTGTCCTTCAACATCATCACTGGTTGTCATTTTCACCAGTAAGGGTGTTAAGGTGGATGTGTACTGAATCCAAACACTGACATGACTGATCCCAGAAAGAATCTGCTCAATTCTGAACACTAAACAGAGATGACTGGCATTTGAACCCTCCCTCTCTCAGTGACATTCCGTAGAGAGTTACCCTACACATGTATGTCAAAATCTATCGGGTGACAGGTTTAACGGGTATGTAAACTGGCCTCATATTGGTACAATTGACAGGCTGTGGTAGGTACAATGTATGTTGACTGAGGGAACCATGCCTTGACTGACATTGATAGATGTGGTGGGTCAGCATTGGTGAGTGCCTGCCAATGATGGATTTAGCTCAGTAACAATGGAGGCAAAAAAGGTTCACTCATGCATTCTAGCCAATGGCATCCCATTTTAAAATAGCTGCTACACAAGCTGTACCAGTATTAACCCTTACCCTACTTGACCCTCCAACGCATGCCAATTGTGCCTCAAGAAAATCTCCTATGTTTTTTGCATGGCCCTCCAATATCTGCCATGTCATTTCAAGGGTAACTGGACAGGCACTCCAATACATGCCACAGAGAACAATGAGAGTCCTCTGATAACAAAGTGAGTGCCCCCAGCTGGTCACTATCAGGCACCCTCCAGGGCCTCCAACTCCTGCCAATTGGAGCCTTCACTGTTAAATCTAACTATCTGCCAAAATACTGCAGCTGGAGGGCATTGGCATAACCAACTGACATGCAGTAAACTACCCTCAGAGAGTAAGGGTTAATGGTCACTCTATCTATCAAACCACTTTTCGGGCTTTGCCAGTTATACGGTGTAATCCATAGGGGTTTCCGGTAGTTGGTGACCAGCCTGTACAAAAGCTACCAAGAGCATGAAGAGAGATACATGTAGGGGTTCGGTTTTTAGACAGTTTGTGATAGTAACTGGGTATAAGTACATGAGGGTTAATTAAATCCAGAGTCCATCATTTGCAGCTATCCAAAAAGTAACTGGCATAATTATTTTTAAAAAAATCATTCTTGGCTGAAAGATAGTAAGGGCACTAAACTCCCTGTGAAATTATTCTTTCTGGCAAGCTGTCATTTTGGAGAAATCAACGAAAGAAGGCCTTCCCAACAGTGCCTCTTAAGAAGCACCATTGGAAATTTTCGTTAGTAGTTTTCAAATTATTCAAATTAGGTTTTTGCCCTTTTAGTTTGTTTTTTTATTCAGCGAAGCGTGCGCAAGCGTTGACACGACGCACATGCACGCGTGGTTGCTATAATTTGTTGGATCGGTGCGCAACAATCGCGTAGCTGTATTCGACTCAGTGAGAACGTGTCTCGGACACTGAATACAGGTCCAATTCAAAACATGATTTGGCAACTTTTGATTTGAAATTGAGATCATAGAATGTTGTTTTTCTCAAAATAAACAGCAGAAGCTGAACTGAAACTTCATCAGGTTAGTTGTTCAGCACCCTTCTTTAGATTTTGAGCACTTTTGTTGCTTCAAACGAACACAATGCACAAATTACAAATGATGGACTATACCTTTAAACAAGCTATTAAAAAAAAATGCTGTGAGGATTGAGGAATATCAGTGTTTGGAGACGCAGTTGAAAAAAAAAATGGATACAATAGGCCAAAAAAAAAAGTCTCCGGTTTCTGGTATGGAGCTTGCCCCAAAAGTGGTGCGGCGACGCGGCCTTTTTTTTTTTTTACCTGTTTTTTTTTTTTTTTTTTGGCTTCAAATGTCGGCTGATGACTGCAAATGGTGCCCGACTAACTTAGTGCAAATATATGGGAGTCCAGAGAGGCCACATAAAGCTTATTCTCGATCATAACCCCATCTAAAAACACGTTAAAATTGTGCAGCAGCAGAATTCCAGTCAAACCAGTGAGTTTGGCGGTTTTGAGACATCTTCTTGTATTGAAAAAAAAACTTTTTCATTTTGCCGACGCGCATGGCTACGGCGACGCGCGCGCATACCACAAACCGGAGACTTTTTTTTTTGGCCTTATGCAAGCTAGATTTATTTCATTATTGTATTACATACCGATGCACCGTCAGCAATCATGCTCTGAATCAGCGCCACGTTACCCCCGTCCACGGCCCAGTGCATGGCGGTCGAGCCCCCTTTATCGCGGGTCTCGTACGAGGCGTTGTAGGAGCGCAGCAACTTGACCACCGGCAGGTGCCCGGCGAAGCACGCCAGCATGAGACTGTCCTTCCCGCTGCCGTTAATGGCGTTGATGTCGGCTGCGTATCTCATGAGCGTTTCAATCATCCTGCAAGTGGTCCACAATGAAGCAGAAGAACAAAAAAAAAAACATAAAAGGTTCATTGATACTCTACATATGTGACCTGTCAGCAAAAAATTTAGAATAACCATGATTAAGTCGGAAATTGCCATTTTCCAGTACCCCCGCGGAGGGACAAATCCAAACTTTGACAGGAGGTCGATTTTTATGTTTTCAGGTGAACCTGAATCTGTAAATCCTGTTGTACCTAAATTTCCCCATTGTTTTTGTTCTGTCAAACATCTTTAAAACCTATTTTTCATCCCGTTTTATTTGGTGTAATTGACTGTTCATTCACTGCAACAGTGGAATTTATAAATGGCATTTCCTCAGAAATTACTTTTACAACTTTAATTTAGTTAGCGGTCCAGATTTCTGTCAATGACCTCATTCCCCCAAAAGGTCTAAGAGAAAGCTCCCTTTCTGCAAAGTCCAGATACATGTACTTACATAAATATCTCGATACTTAAAAAGTATGAGTTACATGTACCACATGTAATGCTCAATTTTTTTGTTACGATTCACATGTGTCACCAACCAAATTTTTTCCACTTCTAGGTACACATACATTTATGCAAATATGACATGTGTACATGTTCGATACATGTATGATATTTGTAATAACTGAGTGTAATACAAATAATTTTCATGTGTACAATAGGTTTCTCTCAAATGACATAATTTCCTATCAGTCTATAGACGATCCACGTGCATCGGCATTTAAGCGTCAACTTGCATAACGCATATCAGCTGCGTCGTATTTCAAACATATTTCGAGCAACAAGCGCGCGTTTGGAACATTTTCAACCCTGCGTAATGTGTGCTTGATTGCGTAAAATACGCAGTTGCAGTTCTCCTACAGGGATGGCTGTCTTTGAGAGAGACCTATTCAAATGCATGTGTACATATTGTGTATATAACTAGCTGTTCATGTACATCACACGCACAGGTATCCCACAATCGTAACAAGTGCCCTACAAATACACTAGCGTGACAAGTGCCCAAACCTGTACAAATATACTTGAAGTGACACTGGGCACTACAATGCTTGATCAATCTCAGCATTGCCAGCCCTACAATGTGTTCATGTATGTATACACACAGGTGTTTCCTGAACTTCCTACTTCACCACTGCGATTTCCAACTCCAGAGAGTGTTTCAAGCATAATGACAATACAGGGTAACCTACAGACATGACAGAACACAAAACCAACAGTTCATTTGGCTATTCACACATATATCTATTGGACCAATATTGCAAAGGTTAATAATTACTTATATATAATAACTTTTTTAAAATTTTTTTATACTCGGGTACCCGGTTCTGATGCCCAGCCCTAACGATTATGCAAAAAAAATCAAATGTTAACTATGGTTTCTTTTGATAGTTTTGTGTGTGTTGTGTGGTTTCATCAGTATGAGTTTATCATTGTGGTGTCAGTGTTGTCGGCATTTACAACTGTCATAAAGATCACTTTAAACATACATGTACAGGTAAATATTACAACCTGAACTGATAAGAACTGGAGGTCATTTTGTTGTCACACATACTACTCGAACATCAAATTTTAGATGAAGATATTCATATATCTGTTCATGTATCCAGGGTTTAACGACCTGTAGAGTGCACAAACTAATGGTAAATTAAAAAAAAGAAAAAAATTAAAAAATACCCTTCCATTCCTTTTTATGACGACTTCACTGGAAACTTTTTATGAGATGGAAGTTGTGTCGGGAAGACGTACATTTCAAATCTGTGGGGTTTTTTTTGGCCAAAAAAAATAAACATAAAAGTTTCCATTTTCCCAATGCAAATTCCATCTCATAAAAGCTGCTACCTCAGTCTCAAGCTGGCCAGCCGACCCCAACAAGTTATTTCTGGTTTGATGACGTCATCAGTCCAAAAAGGGAACATTAATACTGACTTAGTTCGGAGAGGATATGTGCTCATTATGAAATATTTAAAATAACGTATGGAAATATGAAAAATATGAGTGTATGCATTAACAACACCTGACCCCAGCAAGCTTGGTAGTCGAGTAGTAAGACATCTGCACTAGTAAGCAGGAGGTCATGGGTTCGAGTCCCACCTAAGTAAAGCTTGAGAATTTTTCCTCGCAAGCCCTCGGAAAAACACTGAGTATACAGTGTTTATAATATTGTTGGCAAACGGCAAACAAATAATATGGAAAAAAAATGGAAAATTTTAATACTGGAAGCACAACTTTTTGTCTTTGGCCTTAGTGACCCACTCACTCAATGTTTCCCTTCTGTGAGGCCTGCATTAGAGGAGACAGCCCAAACGTGTCCGGTACGTCCACCCACACATCGCCCGACTCTAAAATCTCGGCCACTCGGTCCACGTCTTGCGTTAACGACACAGCTTTGTGCAGCTGGTCCCCATTCAGCGGTTCCTCTGTAGGGAGAAACATGAGCCAGAAAATGATGAGAAAATTTTGATTGATAGTGCTTGTTACAAAACAGGCAATCATGTAGTGTAAAACCACTCTTTAGTTTTGATCAAATTAGAGTCAATGGTGTTTTTTTATCATTCAAAAATGACCTTTTATCGGTCAAAAATGACCTTTTCAACCTAAAGCAGATTGCTCTCAATTCTAACGACACCTTTTTTTTTGTAATTTGGAACAGTTCCTTAGGGTAAAAATTGCAAATTTCATACGTAGTTTACTGTTGGTGCTGTGCGATTCACGGTACATCGCGGAGATCGAAGTCTTTATTTTTGTGTTGCATTTTGTCGTCGATCGTCATCGTCATTTTACCCCCAACTTTCCCTCAAAAATTCAAAACCCTGCACTCTATCTGGTCTGTTGGTTTTAATTTATTGGTCCCCCCCCCAAAAAAAGTCATTTCCCAGAGAGATCATTCACACTCACACATGTTCCAAGACATGAGCATTAGGTTACAAATAGACACACACAGGAGTTGAATACATGAACCAACTGAAATGAGCAAGTGAGATACACCAAAAATGTATATCTACAGATTTGTAATAATTTCATGATTTGTAATATTCATGATCTTACTGGTTGTTGAGACAGTCACAACTCGGCTGTATTCACTGCTGCCGTGGCTATTGAAAACTCTGAGTCTGTACTTGTACAGCGTGTTGGACTCCAGGCCTTGGAAGACATTGCTGGTTGCATAGCCGCTGAAAACCAGAAATGAACCACCATATTTATAATTAGAAAATAACAGAAAATTGCAATACTTTCTTCCCATACTAAGCTAAATATTTTAATGCATACAATGAATTTCAAAACAACACAATCAAAAATGGGGCAGGAATCTTACTGGCGCGCAACAGTGCAATAAAATTCCCATAGACACTAGTGCTAAATGCCCATACTTCAGAATTCTTTTAAAAATACTCAGAACTCTCACAGGTATTTTAGCTGCACAGTAAAATGATGTCATCAACATGTCATCTTTTATTTTATTTTCATTTTTTGGTGGGTTGACCATTGACTTTTCGAGGAATTCTCACTCAAAGAAGATGAGCCCTATGTGTTTTTCTCAAAGCGGAAAAGTAGCCATCTTGAAAAACGATCCCTCCACAACGTGGCAAAATAGTGCCACTTTCGAGCCCAACTGCATCCAAAATGCTCAGAATTGGAAGCCCCCAGTCCGGGCTAGAGGTTCATTGCCATATCTCTTCAATTCCCAATGTTATGGCTCTCAGAACTCTCTAATATATAATATTTTGAGGGTACAACTTGTATTAATGAGCTCAGCAGATGGATTTAGGCCTATTTACAGGTACGGTGTGCACCCTTTATTGTCCTTCTTTTCTTTTTTGAAAAGGGGCATCAGGAGCGGGTTGAAAACACAACCCTACTTTTTGTGTCACTGAAGATTACTCAAATCACAAAGAGATTAGTGCATGCATACAATAAAGGTCACCTATAAAACCCTAACCATTTGTACTTATGAGCCTACATGGTACATTGTACAATACTAGCAGACTAGCAGCTCTACAGTGGCTCCCAGAAAAAGTGGGCCCCGACAAATCAGTGGCCAAATCAGTAACAAATACAGGGTGAGTAAAAAAAACCGAAACCCAAATGTTGGGACCATTGTTTTAGGGAAGCTCTGCATATAGCTCTTTCACAATCTAGGATATGAAAGCCCAATTCATAAGGTTTCTTTTACTACAAGAATCATTCAAATCACTCATGTACTTTTCAAGTTACGGAATTTTAAACACAACCACCGTTTTAAGGTTCTGTCCACGGATCACAAAAAAGGTTCAGTGTTCTTTCAGCAAAACGAAAACAATTCACATAGGGATGTGTGTGAATTGTTTTCGTTTTGCTGAAAGAACGCACACCTTTTTTGTGATCCGTGGACAGAACCTTAAAACGGTGGTTGTGTTTAAAATTCTGTAACTTGAAAAGTACATTCATGAGTGATTTGAATGATTCTTGTACTAAAAGAAAGCTTATGAATTGGGCTTTCATATTTTAGATTTTGAAAGTACTGCACGCAGAACTTCACTAAAACAATAGTCCCGACATTTGGGGTTTTTTTTCTCACCCTGTTTATGTATTCATGTGAGACTAAATTTTGTTTGTGTGTTTTCGTGCTGCTGATGTTGTTGATTGCCTGTGGAAAATAAACTGAATTTATTGAACACTTTTAAAGCCACGACTAGAAATGTTATTTATTATTCATAAATGTTATTTACAATTTGAATAAAACCTGACTGAAATCAGGGGATCGTAGGAGGACTTACAGCCCACCTACATAAAATGAGAGAAACCCTGTCCAGCTGTAAATGTTTCCTGAACATCAATTCTAATCTGGCTCAATTTGAAAACAGGTGAAGAAAAACAGGTGTCGAGGTTCTAAAAAATTGATCAAGGTTTTCTGGCAAACATTTACTGAATCTCTCAAGGGGGAATGTTTTCAGACTCAAAAGATCTATTCACAGTTTTAATGGCCCACGTACATGTATGTATTTTTTTTTTGATGCAATCCTTGAAAATGCACATTTGTGTTCCATTTCATTTTATTTTCAATTTTCATTTTGCCATTTTCAAGGGTATTTTGGTGCCTTTTTGTTTTTTACAGGTTAAATGCAAATGTCCATATTCATGAGCAAAAGTGTGATGTTATTTGGGCAGAAACCTCCATGTTGCAGTTATTTCAGCACCAAAAGTTTCCAGAATTTAGGATATTTTGCCGTCGTTAATTTTCTGATTCGTTGTTGTTTCAGTGCGTGACAGTAAGCCAATGAGCAAACTTTTCTCACCAATGTTTGAACAGAAAACCCCTACACTGAACAGTGTCTGCCTGTAATGACATCACAGCAACAGCGCCCTCAGTTGTCAGGAAAGCATTACAAATTTTGAATGTTTTAAAGAAGTGCACTTTTCAATCAAATTACCCCAAAAAGGGATGTCAAATAGTTTTTCACACATTTAAGAGGAGTAGAAAGTTACACAAAATACATGTTGCTATTGGTAAAATTCATATCATCGTCCGTTTGACTGCGCATCTGTGATAAAAAAAATGCTTCAACCAGACTTCAGGATACAATGCCGGTCAAAATTTCTTGTGTTTTCAAGATTCAGATTATTTGCTTAAAGCCGGAGTCCATCATTTGCAGCTATCCAAAAAAGTAACTGGCGTAATTATTGTTGAAAAACATACTGGTTGAAAGATAGTAAGGGGACTTAACTCCCTGTGAAATTATTCTTTCTGGCAAGCTCTCATTTTGCCAGAAATCAATGAAAGAAGGCATTACCAACGGTGCGTCTTAAGAAGCACCGTAGGAAAATTTAAATTAGTAGTTCGTTTTGTTATTCAGCGCAGCGCGCGCAAGCATTGGCACGACGCACAGGCGCGCACGGTTGCTATATTTCATCGGATCAGTGCGCGACATCGCGTAAAGCTGCAATTTAAAACAATTCAAAACATGATTTACCAGGTAGCAACTTTTGATTTGAAATTGAGATCCTAGAATGCTGTTTTTCTCGGAATATACAGCTGAAGCTGAGCTGAAACTTCATCAGGTTAGTTGTTCAGTATCCTTCATTAGATTTTGAGCACTTTTGTTGCTTCAAACGAACACAATGCACAAATTACAAATGATGGACTATGTCTTTAACAAATGTACACCGTATTTAATCGAGAAAGTTGTCATCAAAGAACATGTAGTTTGGTTGCAGAAAAGGCTCGAAAATTTATTCTGATTCTGTAAATTTGATGAATCATAGGACTTATGGAAAACGGCGTACATGCCCACTGGGCATGACCTGTTTGATACTGCACAAAAACAAGTACAACTGTACACACAAAAGCCTTTGTGCATGTACAACCATAGAGCAAGGACCCATGGGTCCTTGCTCTATGGTACAACTACGGGTATAACCTGTGGAGCTATAAAAAGGAGCTCCATGGTACTAATCTGCCCTCACAATCTCCCTAAATCCCTCCTTCCCTGAAAAGCACCCATTCATACTAATCCTCTTCTGCATCTAGGGTTATTAAGGATCCTGGACAATCAGGACTGCTCACAAAATGACAGCCCAGTCTGCCACCTGAGGATCGAGACTTTCTCATTACACAAGTGGACAATTTGGCTGTAATAAGAGTTGCTGTTTTATGTACATGTACATTGTATGTACACAATTCAATACATTGTGTACAAATGTACTTGTACTGGAAGAAGCAGGAGACTGCACAAAACACGCTATGGATTGACTGAATGCTACTTCAGTACAAGAACAAAACTTTTCAGAGATTAACCCTTACCCTACTTGACCCTCCAACGCATGCCAATATGTGCCTCAAGAAAATCTCCTATGTTTTTTGCATGGCCCTCCAATATCTGCCATGTCATTTCAAGGGTAACTGGACAGGCACTCCAATACATGCCACAGAGAACAATGAGAGTCCTCTGATAACAAAGTGAGTGCCCCCAGCTGGTCAGTATCAGGCACCCTCCAGGGCCTCCAACTCCTGCCAATTGGAGCCTTCACTGTCAAGATAGTTTATCTGCCAATATACTGCAGCTGGAGGGCATTGGCATAACCAACTGACATGCAGTAAACTACCCTCAGAGAGTAAGGGTTAATTGGGAAAAAAACCCCAAATGATCGTTTTCTTGTGTATGATGATATTCCAGGCAGAATTATTTCACATACGGTATTTGGTACCAGTTCCATCTTCACTTTCAGCAATGATTTTCTCATTAAGGGGAATTGCAAATATTCCTACATGCCTCTATAGGTATAGTCATCATTTGTAATTTCTGCATTTTGTCCGTTTGATTTTTGAAGCAACAGAAGTGCTCAAAATCTGAAGAAGGGTGCTGAACAACTGACCTGATGAAGTTTCAGCTCAGCTTCAGCTGTATATTCCGAGAAAAACAGCGTTCTAGGATCTCGATTTCAAATCAAAAGTTGCTGAATCATGTTTTGAATTGGGCCTGAATTCAGCATCTGAGACACGTTCTCACTGAGCCGATTGCAGCTACGCGATGTCGCGCACCGATCCGACGAATTAAAGCAACCGCGAGCGCGTGTGCGTTGTGCCAAAGCTTGTGCCCGCTTCGCCGAATAAAAAAAACGAACTACTAACGGAAGTTTCCAATGGTGCGTCTTAAGACGCACCCTGTGAAAGGCCTTCTTTCATTGATTTCTTCAAAATGACAGCTTGCCAGAAAGGATAATTTCACAGGGAGTTTAGTCCCCTGACTATCTTTCAACCAAGTATGTTTTTCAACAATAATTGCGTCCGTTACTATTTTGGATAGCTGCAAATGATGGACTGTAGCTTTAAACTTACAAATGGTAAATAAAAATACTACGGAACATGTAACTTTACTGTACAAAAATGATATCGTTTCACAAGGTGATGAGACCAAAAAACATTTCTGTTTAGTCTTGTCACCTGTATGGTGTAATTGTTGCCAGGAAGCATTTTGAACACCTCAAGTTTGGACAACCATCAGGACCTGTGGAGTATCCACACCCTTTTGGCATGGTCTGCCCTGACAGTGTTGGGATGCACTTCAGCACTCTGTCAATGTTTGTTTAATTCATGGTGGGCGAACCTCTAGTGTTGGCAAACAAACTTCAGTGTGGTTTGACCTACATAAATGCATCTAATTCCCCTTAACCTGTCAGACGTCATCAGACAGGT